TCACTCACCACAGGTTGATGCAAGATTCCCTGCCAGCTCTGCTCTCAATTCAGTTCGCTGATTTGTACTCTCAGAGCATTCGCGTCTCCAGTGAGTTGAAAGTAGCCGGCTATCCTGGCTGCGCCAATTCAGATGTGGCAGCAGCAACGAGTTCAATCCACCAGTTCAAGTGGCGGCACCGAGATTTTAGCTGTTCCAATCATGGCATTAGGACTGCATTTCCAGTTGGTTTCTCTCGGCTTAGTTTGTTCCTGGGTCAGCAAGGTACATCTCCCTCTGCTTAGGACTCTCCACGCCGCACCATTTCTGGAATCTAAGCTGGTTATCTCAGAGAGCCTCTGTAGCTCCTCTTGTCTATCTGCCATCTTTTCTCAATCCCATCAATACCTATTTCAAAAACCTCTACTCTCATAGGCTTGATAACACAGAAGAAATGGACAGATTCTTACAAACATATGAATTCCCAAATCTGAGTCAAGAAGATGTAAAACTTCTGAATAAACCAATTTCAATTAATGAAATTGAAAATGTAATTAAAACCAACAAAGAGAAGCCTAGGTCTAGACAGATTCACTGCACAATTCTACAAGAAATTCAAAAAAGATTTAATGCTGACACTCCTCAAACTCTTCAATGAAATTGAAAGGGAAGCAATTTTCCCTAATTCATTCCTGGAAGCAAATATTACTCTTAATACCAAAAGCTGAGAAAGACCCAAACAAAAAAGAGAACTACAGGCCAATCTCCTTAATCAACATCGATGCAAAAATTTTCAATAAAATTTTGGTAAACAACATCAAGAAGATTATATACCATAGCTGTACACCAGGAATGCAGGGACGGTTCAAGATATGCATATCAATAAATGTAATCTACCATATCAATAGAGCCAAAAATAAGAGCCACATGATCATTTCTATAGATGCAGAAAAAGCTTTTGACAAGGTCCAACACTTACTCATGATAAGAACCTTACAGAAAATTGGAATAGATGGCCTTTACCTTAATATGAGATAAACCATCTATGACAAACCAATAGCCAGCATCATATTAAATGGCCAAAACCTGAAAGCCTTTACTCTAAAATCAAGAACAAGGCCAGGATGCCCATTATCACCACTCCTATACAATATAGTTCTGTAAATACTAGCCAGAGCAATAAGACAAGAGAGAGAAATAAAAAGATAGAAAAAGAGGAAGTTAAATTATCATTATTTTCAGATGACATGATACTGTACATAAAAGACCCCCAAAGCTCCATTGAAAGGTTCCAAGATATAATTAATAAATTCAGTAATGTAGTTGGGTATAAAGTCAACACTCAAAAATCAATAGCATTCCTACACACTAACAACAAAATCACTGAGAGAAATAAGAGAAGCCACACCTTTCACAGTAGCATCCAAAAATATGAAATACTTAGGAATCAACCTAAGAAAAGAAGTAAAAGATCTATTCAGAGAAAATTATAATCCTCGCAGAAGAAAAATTGAAGAGGACCTCAGAAAATGGAAAGACATCTCTTCTTCATGGATAGGAAGAACGAACCATTTAGTAAAGAGACTATCTTTCTTCAGTGAATGTATTTGGCCCCTTTATCAAAGATAAGGGTAAGAATATGCTCAAAAGGGGAAAAATATTATCTCAGGAAAAATGAGGGGAAAAAGAAGGGAAAAGAAAAAATATTTATAATTATATAAACACACTTAGGATAGCTAAGATGATTGTGCTATAGATTCTGTAAATTCTTGGAACAAAATAGTTAACATTTATAGAAATGGAACAATTGTGCATATTATTGTGTGGTGATCTGAGGAACTTTTGAAGATCATTATGTAAAATAACAATCCTAGTTACGTTCCTACCACCTTGTTTTGAAGGCCTGTATTGTCAGTGTTTTGGGCTCTTTGCTATTGTTATTTGTCTTTTTTGTTTCATGTTTTTTTAGAAATTTGTTTTGTTTTGTTTTTCCCTCTAATACAGAAAGAATAAGTACACATGTAGAGACTCATACTATGTAGAACTTCTCCTAAATAGTGTATAACTTTGATTATATAATGCACGATGAGATGAATACCTACTTTGAAGAAAAAGAGACACAATGGTACCCAGTGCTGATTCCGTAGCATCATGCTGTTGAATCCAGCAATACTGTTATTCTTTGTTCAGAGTGATTTTAGTCTGTTTTGTATTGTTTAATTTCAACAAGCATGAAGGTATGGATAGCTATTTTGAAGAGAATGAGAGACATTATGGCAGCCATTGTTGACTTCTCTGTTGTCTGGTTTTGAAGGCCTATAATGCCTTCATCATTTTGTTTTGATCAGTTCTATACTATTTTGTTTTGTATGAACTCATTGTGTGTGAAGGTATGGACAACTATTTAGAAGAAAACAAGAGGCAATAATAGACAGTGATGATCTCCTGTTTTGCTTTGAAATCTGTCTCTTACATTGTTTTCTTCTGATCTACTTTGTTTTGCTTTGTTATGTTTAGTTTTACCCTCCCTTTACACTTCTGCAAAAGATCTATTTCCTTGTTACCTATTATCTTTTATTTCTTTCTTTAAAGTGAATATTTTTGTGTGATATTGTATAGTAGTGTTGCCAAGGCCATGGTATGATATGAAGCACAAAGTGCACCCTAACTTGGAGCACTAATGTTGGATTGTATTTTTCCGTTTTTGTGTTAGGCTAATTCCCATGTGTGTACTACAGCATGTCCTAGAAACCAGTGAAGGTGAATCTTTTAGAGCTTTTCTTGATAACAGACAGCTTACTGTGACATGTGTGCCACTACTGACCTAGACAATCATTTAATGTGCTGAAACTATATGACTAGTTTAACTAGTGAAAGGTTTTTTGTTTTTTCAGTGATTGCATTAGACTTTCAGAAAGCCAGAATTTAGAAATACACACCCATCATATTCGGAAGTCAGCGTTTATAAATATGTATTCATGTTTGTTTATTTTTAACTAAGAATATTAAGCTGAAATTAAAGAGACGTCTTTTCTTATTTTTCTTAAGAACATAAACTATAAGTAGAAGGAGCAATAGGCTTAAAATGTTCTAAATATTTTGGTTACTAACAAATACAAAAACATTTAATTTCATTTACACATTTATGTACCTTTTAAAAATTGATGGTTTAATTAAAACCATACTTCCTTTTTTCATAGTTCTTTTAAATTTTAAACTTTTAAAGAAACTCTTATTTATTATTAATACAATACAATAATGTCACAGATTTTTAAAAATGGAAGAGATTATATCTGTGCTGACATAGATTACTAGTATTTTGTGTATTTTCTTACAGTTAATCTTTAAATTCGTATTAATATGATTGTGATCACTGTATACCTATACTTTTTGGGGAATCAAACTCACAATCTTGTGCTTGCCAGGCAAGTGCTTATACCACTGAACTATATCCCTGGCCCCAACTTTTTTTTGAATATATAAATTTTATTGTTTTCTCTTTGCATTTTTTCAGAAAAATATTTCTGTTTTTTCCTAGGAAGATTGTTATTTTTAATGACCATACACTACTGTGACTTGAAGAGAAATAGTAAATATTCTCTGTTTTAGATCAGTATTTAGGTTAACCTTAATATAGAAGTTGGTAGAGTCAACATCTACATTTTGTTTTTTGAATTTATAAATTTCTGCTAGTTTTATTATTTGATCAAGAGCGATGAGCACTGGGGTTCCTGACACATAATGCTATAGTTTATAAAAAGAAATTATGCTCACTTACATTTCAACAAGCAGTATGTAGTAATTTTATTATAGTTTTGCCAGCATTGACTGTCAGTGTAAAAACTATTTTTTATAAACAACTATATATGTTGAAACAGTGGCCCATGCCTGTGATACCAGCATTTGGGAGGCTGAGGCAAGAGGATTCCGCAAGTTCAAGACCAGCCTGAAATGCAGTGATATTCTGTCTCCAAAATAAATAAATAAATAATCTTAATTAGTTTTATTTAATTGTATTAATTAACTTATCAATTCATTTATTGATTGCAGTACTGGGATTATCTCTAGGGCCTTTGCAGTGATCTAAATCTTCCCTTTTTATTTTTAATTATTTAGTTTTTACTCTTCGTATTTTTATTTTGGAGACAATCTGGTTAAATTGCCTAGGTGGGACTTGAATTGATATCCTCTTGCCTCAGCCTTCTAGAGTGCTGTAATTACAGGCATGCAGCACTACTCTAGCTTTATGAAGTACAGTTTCATTATTTTCATTGTTATTCCATTTCTCTGATCTTTGCATAAACACTTTACAAGTCTTTTTATAGTTTCTATTTTATAAGTTCTTTAGGTCTTTTGTTGCTTTTAGGTTACTGTCTACTTTGAAATGATCATCTAATTTTAGTTTTCTTATAGTAACAAGTAAATTAAATCTTTTTTCCCGTAAACAGCTGTATATATTGAAACAGACTTATGTTTCTGAACTTACATAATGAGAGCAATTTATTATTTTTAAAGAACAATTTAAAATGTTCATATCTTTACCTTTATAATATTGTTATGTAAAAAAAGTAGTGGTATATATCTATGGTATGTGTCTATGAAATATGATGTGACAGTCTGTTACAGGACTGGGGATTTAGCTCAGTGGCTCAAGTAAGCCGCTGAACTAAATCCTAATGAGCCTAGTAAGAGCTTGCTTACTGAGCTGCCTAATAAGCATGAGGTTCTGAGTTCATCCCTGGTATCCAAAAACCAAACAAAACAAAGTCTCAGTTACACTGTCTCCTTCAAAGATGATCACATTGTTAACTACAATGTTCCTCAAAGTATTTTTCCTGTGCTAAAAGTAATTCATTTGTTCTGTCCAGAAAACATACATTTTATCCTGTGTTTATTGTATTATAAAGCTTTTGATCTTAGCCGAAGATAAACATAAGATTAAGTCCTGTTTGGTTGAGTAGATGCACTTCTTAGAGCTAAATTTTAAGTTTTAAATTCAGTGCAATTTGTATATATTTTAGGCAGTACTCGTCTGATTAGTACATCTTCTTGGCGAGATGGACAAAAACTTGTAAAGAAGATACTGGGACCTGCTCCTAGAGCAGAACAGAGAGAGCGGAGACCAGCATCAAGTGACAGAAGCAGGGGAGAGAGAATTGCTAGGTTTGGTGAGTAGCTTCTGTCAGGCCATCCAAAGAGACAATATACTCTTGAGCATGCCCTGGCTCAGAAAGGGAGATGTTCTGTAGGTTCAGCTAGGTCATCTCTGCATGTTGTAATAGTATCCAAAAATACTGTGTAAGATGGATATTGATTATATTTGGCTATAGTGAGTGTCAAAGAATTATTTTAATCAAGTCATATTAGACTTAGGGACCTTAAGAGACTTACATCCATTGTATCTGATCCCAGCATATACGAAGAAACACAGAAAAATATACACAAGGTTGGATTTTTGTTGTTGTTGTTGGCAGGAGAAAAGATGAGAAAGAGACTCTGAAAAATGAGATTTTTCTCCTGATCATGTAGTCATGGCAAAATTTGCCTGAACTAGGTTTGACCCTCATAACCATTACTCCTCTCTTTTTGAAGTGTCTTGAATGCTATTTGAGATATATATTGCTATTAGCATTTCATAAGTGCTAATTTTGAGAACAGAAATATAAATGCCTACAGCTTCCTTTTCCAGTAGCACAATTTGTCTCACTTAGAGTTCCTGGAATGGGTTCAGTGAGAAGTACAAACACAACTATAATTTGTTTTGTAGAAATCAATATATATTTTATATTTGTTCCTCTTTATTTGTATCTATCCAGCAAATTGATGTGCATTCCTATTTTAAAATTAAGTCATGTCGGTAAAATTTATGTAATAAATGATCATGTTTCTATATAACTCCCTTTAATTTGTTCTGTTTAATATGTTCTTTGGAGAATTGTAGAGACTTGACATTTGTTCAATAAATACTAACGAGTCCCAGCTATGAAGAAGGCAGTCTAATTTCTGGGACTTCAGAATGAGCAAAATAGTCTAAATCCTATAGTCATTTGAAGAAGGCATTCTAATAAAGAAGGAAGCATAGACCTCTCACTAAAATTTGTCCTTTCTCTCTGAAGTGAGGTAAAATACTGTACATAAAATAGCCTTTTAAAAAAATACTTGAGCATTTGAGCCAGGCATGGTATGTGTGCCTGTGTGCCTATAATCCCAACTGTATTGAAGGCTGAGATATGAGGAGTTAGAGTTCCAGCCAACTTGGGCAGTATGGTAAGTCTATCTCAGAACCAAAATATTTGAAAATTTGTTTCACAAATGTTACTAAATGTGAATGTGATCATTTGAGGCCAATTGTAATCTTTTTTTTTTTTGTCATGAGGAATGAAAATTCTCTGATAAATTCATCCAAATGGTGCCATTTCATGTAATTCTGGAAGAATGTAGAATTTTTAGAAAAGTCAGTGTTTTCAGTGCCTTTATTATTTGGATTGGCAAGTAATATCTGACCTTAGCAAAGCTCTTTATAAACATTTCTTTTTAACATTTTTAAAGAGTTTACCATTTCTTGGATACTAATCAAAAATTTTTTTACTAAAAAGGTTACTGATTTTTGTAGGACTGGGAATACAGCTCAGCAACACGAGTACTTGCATAGCAAGTGCAAGGTGGTAAGTTTGATCCCTGGTACAAAAAAAAAAGTTACTGATTGTTTAAAAAGAAAGAAATAGTGACATTAAATGTGCATATGATTAGAAACAGTAATATTCAATATTAACATCAACTGTAAAATCTGTCTTTTTTCTGGAAATACTAAAAAATACATTTAAAAAACATAAGGAGGCACTGTTTTTCAAAGGATTGAAATTCTTTTAATCTAGAAGTTTCTTTCCTTTTAGAACACCCTAAAAGTTTTTAAGATATTTGAATTTGAGTTTGAGATAAAGTGAAATTGTCTAATTATCTTCTTTGTGCAATAAACCCAAGGGACAAATACAGAATTTTTATATATCGGTAATAATTTATACTTTGCAGGGAGTCATATTGGAAGAGCAGAATCAGATCCCAAGTTGAATGCTTCACATAGACATCTTCCACGAACCTCCGAACGTTCAAGAAGTAGAGCTCGGTCTGAAAATAACAGCAAGAAATTAACTCCAACTTTTTCAAACAATAAGCAGGAGGAAAATACTGTCTTAAATAAGGACTTTCTACCTGTTGAAATTCGTGGCATTCTGGATGACCTCCAGCTGGATTCTACAGCTCCAACCCCAAGGCAAGAGGCTGGGGAGTTAGAGAATCAGAAGACATTGGCACCGGTATCAGCTCCTCGGAGTCATAGCCCAGTGAAAAGAAAACCTGACAAAATAACAACTAATGAAGATCCCCCTATTATTTCCAAAAAGCGCCACTATGATACTGATGAGGTAAGACAGTATATTGTTAGACAGCAGGAGGAGAGGAAGAGGAAGCAAAATGAAGAGAAGAAAGCTCAAAAGGAAGCTACTGAACAGAAGAACAAACGATTGCAAGAACTTTACCGGAAACAGAAAGAAGCCTTTACTAAGGCAAAAAATGTACCTCCTTCAGATCCATCAGCAGCTAGACGGTTACAGGAAACTTACTCCAAATTGCTACTAGAAAAGACCTTGCTTGAAGAGCCAGCTCATCAAAATGTTACACAAGAAATACAGGTAACGGTATAGAGAAATCAAAGGGGTATAATTCATGGTCAGAAATAGTTTATTTGTTATATATAGTGTTTTAAAATTGTGCACTATTCCTAATATTCAGACATATGCTCAGGTGATATTTATAATCTTCATGGCTTTTAATGAACTTTATTTCATGTGAAGAATATGAAAAATAAGATAGAAAGTAAAAGCTAGTCACATTGATTGCTACTAATCTTTTTTTCTTGTCTTTGCTGTAAGTTATATTTCTACCTAGTTTTTGTTGTACCACTGAGGACATCCTCAGTACGTAATCCATAATTAGACCATGGTAATAAAATACAGTTGTGATCTCTGTGAGGTTAGGGAATATCCTGGTTTAGCATGCTGATGTTTAAAGATTGAGTGTGTACCATGCACCACATACTGTTTTAAAAGCTTTTACTTATAGGCTTAAGCTTTAGTGAATCCTCACAACCCTGAGAAGGTAGGTTCTATATTATTTTTGCTTAATCAAGTGAGGCTTATAAAGGGTATTAGTTCCTAATTATATGGTTAGAATAAGATGCCTTGTTGGAATTTAGATGAGGCTTTGCTATTAGTTACAGTGATTGTTTACAAAAAATGACTTTTAACACTAATTGCTTGTAAACTGGTTTTATTTGAGGAGAAAAATCCCTCCATTTCTGGTCTTTGTAAAGCTGAAGTGACTTATTTTATTTGTTCTCTGAATATCTTTGAGATAGCTATCAGATAAATTTTATCCTTCTCTTGTAGGCCAGACCAGGGTATCAGCCATCTGGAGAATCTGACAAGGAAAACAAAGTACAGGAACGTCCCCCAAGTGCATCTTCCAGTAGTGACATGTCTTTATCTGAACCTACACAACCTCTTGCAAGGTAAAAAGGAGAATGAAAGATGATTAAGGTTCTTTTCTTTTCATTTTTTTTTTCCTAATGAAATTTAATATGGTATTCTATGCTTGGTGAATTTGGTTGACTGATCATTGTGAATAAGAGTGTGAGAGGTTTATTTAGAAATTGGTTAATATTTTCTAATGGATGCTTAACCATGGTGTACAGCCATACTTACTGCTTTTTTATCCAAATTTTACCTGTCATTTAATCTAATATTAATGTCAGACCCTTCTTTAGTTGAAGGTACTTCTTTGTGGACTTTAGTTGGACTTCTTTGAACCAAGCACACAATACAGGTTTGTTGGGGGAAGGGAATATAGCTCAGCAGCACAGTACCTGCCTGGCAAGTGTGAGGTTGTGAGTTCGATTCCCAGAACCCAGAAAAAAAGTTTATTGGGCAGAAAAATCACAGTGAAAGATTACATGGTAACCATTTTGGGAAGAGAAAGATTTTGAAATTCTTTGAAAATACACAAGTAGAAATTAAATCACTTTGCAATTTGATGTTAATAATATGGCCCTCTTTCTCCTCATCCCAGAGGATATTAATACTGACAAAGTAGCTAACATCTATTGTTTCTTAGTTTTCAGGCACTGGTTGTAAATACTTTGCATGTATTTGTTTCATGTAATCCTTATAATACTTTAAGTTAGGTGCTGTTATTATTCCTGTCTTAGAGAAGAACTAATGGAGGACTAGAACTTGAGTTTCTCAAAGTTCCAAACATTAGTGATGGAGATAAATTTGAACATAGGTAGTCTTAACTTCAAAAGCCTATTGTTTTAAATACTCTACATACTGCCTTTCAGTGACTAAACTGTTTCAGATAATTTGTTTCAGGTTTTAAATACATTTTAAACTTCAAGTATAAACTTTAGACATCTTTTTGAATGTGAATACTTTTGGATAGGTGATACTGTCCAGTTCATTATTAATGTTGTATACATTGTGCTGGATTTATAACTTCAGTTTTTGCCTTTTTCTGAATTTACTTCTACTTCCAAACAAGTTATTCAATATTAAAAACAAACTAAACACAAGTCTATTATTAGAACTTTACTACCCTGCACAAGTTTACCTTCTTTATTATCATTCTCTGTCCTTCCATTTAAATTTTTTGAGTTTTAAAATGAACACATTAAAATTGTACTTATTTATGAGATACCACCAGATGTTTCAATAATCTGTTGCCTCCACTTTTTCACTATCCATTTCTTTGCCCATGCCAGTTAATAGTTTTACTGTATTTTCATGTTTAAAATATTTTATAATTTTTTTTGCAGCACTGGGGATTGAACCCAAAACCTTGCACATTTTAGGGGAACATTTTACCACTGAGCAACATCTCTGCCCGTTTTGTATTTTATCTTGAGATGGGATCTTGCTAAGTAGTCTAGGCTACCTGGAACCTGCAATTCTCCTGGTCCAGCCTCTCAAGTAGGTGGGATTACAGGTATATGCCACCATGCCTAGCTAAAATTGTTTTATTTTATGTTAAAATTATATTTCATGTTCTTGTTCTTTATACCCCCATCATTTTGTGTTGTTACTTGAAAAAATTCATTATATATCTGATCTTGAAAACCTTAAAAATCCAGCTCAAAAGTCATTTTCCTTGGCTAGCATTATTATTTATGACTTACCTACATCTAAATGCAATTTATAAATTTAACAGTGTATTTAGGTGTTTATTGAACCATTATCCTTAATGGATCTTAAAATCCTAGAGTAAGGATTAAATCAACTGGATTAATGATTTTCATTTTTTCTTCCCCTATTTCTCCCCCAACATAGCAACTACCATAAAATTAATATTCTAAATACTTGAATTTAAAACTTTTGGATTTTTTACTCATCAGTCTTTTACATTATATAGTCTCCTCTGTATTTCTATTATTAGCACTCTAGTTTAGGCCCTAATAACCTCACACCTTCCATTTGTAGTAGTCTATGTGGTACAGAACCTATGCAATAGTTCTCTTTCATTCCATTCTTCTTAAAAATCCTTCAATTTAAAGAGTACTATAATTTAACTTCTAAACAAATTTTGCTTGACCTATGTATTAGTCACTTTCTTGTTGCTGGGACAAAGTACCTGACATGTACAACTTAGTGAAAAGTCGTATTTTGTCCCATGGTTTCAGAAATTTCAGCACATGGTTGACTGGCTCCAAGATAAACAGCATAGAAGGACATGGCAAAGGCTTAATCTCTGGCAGCCAGAAAGGGGAGAGAGCAAGGAAGAGACAGACAGAGAAGAAGAAGCTAAAAATATGATTATACAGTTCTAGATGCCTGCCCCCAGTGACTCACCTCCTCCAACCAAGTCCCACTTCCTAACAGCACATTTAACTATGAACTCATCAATCTTAAAATGTGGATAGGGTTAATGCCCTTGGTAGATAAGTGTTCGGGGATACTTACCTTAACAACATATTCTCGGTTCTTTAATCACCTTAGTTACCTTTTTCCAGGTTTTTTTTAAAGCCCAATTTGTAGAAGTTTGCATTTATTTATATTAGCTTAAAGTTGTAGTCTTTACAAATAATTTAAACTCATAAATTATATTGAAGTAGACACACCTGACTTTCTGTCATCTGCAAATTTGTAAAGCATATATTTGTGTCCTTATTCAGAAACTTTGAAGAAGAGCAAGTATAAAACTTTATTACTCTTCTAAAGGTCCTCTATAATCTTTTGTTTTTGTTACTCTTCTAAAGGTCCTTTAAATAACCTTTAATCTCTCTGTAGTATCTTTTCATGTATAGGGAGAGTATAGTGTGAAAACGTAAGTAAATTTACATAATGTTGATTAGGATACCTGTATTATGTTTCCATATGGTATGGACATTTTACCCTGAAATTGTGTACTTACAATTGATACAGTTTTACATTTAGTTGTTTGATTTATTACAAGTTGGCCTTGTAATAATTTAATTATTTCTTTAATATGTAGAATGTTAAACATTAGTGTTCAGCATTTGGTATTTGCTGACTACGGAATGTGTATCATGTTGACATTAGTATTTGGCAATATATGTGGGTTTTTTGTTTGTTTGTTTGGTTTGCTTTGAGAGTATTTCACTATACAGTTTAGGCTAGCTTTGAACTCACTTTGTAAGCCAGGCTGGCCGTGAATTTGTGGCAGTCCTCTTTAGCCTTCCAAGTACTGGAATTTTAGATATTTCAGGCGTGTGTCACCATTCCTGGAAATATTTAGCAATCTTAAGCATTTTTCCTTTACATAACATTATTTTTAAAGGGTAGGATAAAGCCAGTGTTTAGAAGTTTGACCATAGAATTTTAAAAGGTTTAATGCTTCCTTATAATAGGTTTTTGTGGCAGAGTGTTTCTTGAAAAAAGCAGTTTGAAAAACAGTATGTATAATGAAATCTCTTTTGTGCAAACAGTGCTATCAAATTATAGTAAATATGTAATATTTGGAAAGGTAGAAACAAACGAAATATTAATACTAGCGGTTATGGTTGATATATTGTGTCAGTTTGAGAAGCTGAGAAGTTTAAGAAACTCAGCAGGGAGCCAAGATCCTTACTTTATAATATCCTCCTCCTGTGCAAAAGGAGGGCACAGAGGTTTTGCCAGTGCTACATCTGCCCTGGGTGTATGTGAGGGCGCCATGTGGCCTGGATACAATGTAAGGGAGGGAAAGAAGTTTGCTCCCCCACCCCCATTTTGCCCTGGCTGCTACCTTGAAGTGTTGCCCCTGGACCATGCCACTCTGCCTTGGAGCCAGCTGATTATGGACTGAAACCTCCACAAACAATAAGCTGAATAAACCTTTTCTTCTTTCATTTTGGGTGTTCAGTATTTTGTCCTAGCAACAAGAGAAAAGTAACCAAGATACTAGCTCTTTCTGATTGCTTAGCTATGAGTGATCCTTACCTTTTTAAAACTATTTGTGCCTTTTTCCCTCCTCAGTTTGTATGTATTACTCTTCTAATCAGAAAAATACCCAAAACTTTAAAAACCCCAAAATACTGATATGGGCTTTGGATGTTGCTCAGAGATGGAGTTCTTGTTGAATGAGGTACTAGGTTTGATTTCAAGTGCTGTTTTAAAAAAGTGGTTGAATCACAAGATGCTATTAACGAGTTTATTTTAACTTATTTTCAGAAGAGACTTCATGGAACCTACATGGATGCAGCCTGACAGACTGAGCCCAAAAACATACAGTTCTCAACCACAACCTCTTGTTGGAGCAGCTGGAAATTTGCTTTCCCATCTTTTGAATCTAGAACATGTAGGAATTTTGCATAAGGATTTTGAATCTATCTTACCACCCAGGAAGAATCATAATATGGCTTCAGGACCATCAGTTTTTACATCTCAACCATATCTGACCTCACCAGCTGCTCATCCAGATGCCTTGTTAAAACCTAATGTCAGCCAGTATAAGAGTAAATTGGATCGTATTGAAGCCTTGAAAGCAACAGCTGCTTCTTTGTCCAACAGGATCGAATGTGAAGCCAAGAAATTAGCTGGAGCCAATATCAACTATGGGTCAGTGTGGAACACTGAGTATAATGTGCAGCAAGCACCTCAAGAAGATAGACTTTGGACCAAGGCTGTAAGTCCACCTGTGAAAGAGGAGACTGAAGACGTTTTCTCGGCACGAATTCAAAAGATGCTGGGAACTTGTGTATCTCATGCAACTTTTGATGATGATTTGCCTGGTGTAGGCAACCTCAGTGAATTTAAAAAGCTTCCTGAGATGATAAGACCTCAGAGTGCAATATCAAGCTTTAGAATGAGATCACCTGGTCCCAAACCAGGAGGGCTGCTGGCACAGTTATCTAAAAGGGAGACTGACTGTTCTAACTCTGATGTGCAAGCCTGTTCTCAAGAAAAAGCGAAAGTATCTCTTTGTTCCAGCACAGACTCAGTCAGTGAGGGGCCTCTTCTTAGTGAGGGGAGTCTTTCTGAAGAAGAGGGAGGCCAGGAAGGACAACCCCTTTTGAAAGTATCAGAAATCTTAAAAGAAAAAGAATTTTGTGCTGGAGAAAGAAATACTTGTGAACCCATCAAAGAGTTTCAAAAGGAAGCTGAGAAATTCATGCCACTTTTGGGGCATATAGGTGGTACACAAAACAAAGGACCATGGGAAGAATTGGCAAAGGGAAGTCCACATAGTGTCATCAATATTTTTACTAAATCATATCAGTTGTATGGAAAAGGTGAGCAAAATAAAAAAGGATGCATGTTATCTTAAGATAAAATTAGTTTGCAATTTTTTTGTAAGATAGTATACTTGGGGCTGGGGATTTAGCTCAGTGGCTCAAGTGCTTGCCTGGTAAGCACAGGGTTGTGAGTTTGATCCCCAATACCAAAAAAAAAAAAAAGTGTATATATATATATATACATATATATATATATATATATACATATATATATATATATATACATATATATATATATATATACATATATATATTTATACTTAGCACACTTTTATTGTTCATTACAAAGATAATAGATATTTATTATCCATATTATTTACCTTCTAAATTATGTGCACACTTCAACTGGAGTGTTAATAACTTAATCTTTAAATTTTTATTGTAATAATAGTTGATTATAGGTGTAGAAATTTTTTTTGTCTGCTTTGGAGAAATTCATACGTGATGTCCAGGATTGGTCATATGTCAAACATAGTAGATTTGGGGCTGGGGATTTAGCTCAGCTGCATAAGCGCCTGCCTTGTAAGCAGGCAGTCGTGAGTTCAATCCCCGGTACCAATAAAAAGGAAAAAGACAAAAGACAAAAAAACCAAAAAAAAAATAGTAGATTTTCTGTCACAGTTATGTCCTTAACTATGACATAGCATAAGAAATATGCTTAACAAACTTAAGCATATTTCATAATACAGTTATTTGTGAATCCTTGGAGTATATTTCCTTTTCTAGTTAGACTCAATTCCTTCAACTTCTTTTCTTTGTTCTTGCTGTTATTGGTGGAATCGTCCAATTTATGTGAATGTAACCTTAGAATTTCTAGGTTGGGGATTTCCACAGCATTTAACAAATTATTTGACAAATCAACTGATTTTGTCTGTTTGTCTTACTGGATGTCACACTGTTTTTCCTTTAATTCATATTTAGACACTCCCTTATTACCTTGTGCATATTTTTATTGCTTTCTTGTTTAGGCACTTATTTCTGTTGGTGTTGATTTTAATTTTTTTAAAGTTCTTTTGAGGAAAGCAAAGTACTTAAATTAACACTTATTTTTTAATAAGAAAATTGAGTTCTTAAATTCTATATTATCAATATGATTTTATAGATACACTGAAATATTTAGAGATGACATGGTATGTATTTGAGATTTGCTTTAAAATAATCATTGGGGGCATAACAGACAAGAGGAATAGGTAGTTTAAATGAAACTAGATTGTTTACGTGTTTGGTTATGGGTAGGTGATGGTTATATTGGTTCCATTATGCTGTTTTACTTGTTTTTATGTTTAAAATTTTTCCTCATTAAAACTTAAAAATATATTGTTAGATTACAAGGTAAATTGGAAGATAAAAGCAAACTAAACTGCCCAAAGTCCATGTTACTAATTTCCCTATTATGGAATGCTTTGCTTGTAACTTCTTGATGTTTTGCTTTTAACCATGCTTCAATTATTGCTTTTGACAGGGATTGAAGACAGAGTAGACAGAGGAATATCAGCATCACAGCCTTTGAGTGCTATTACCACCCCTCTAAGTAGTATTTCATATGAAGATGATTTTGTCTCCTCTCCAGGCAGTGGAACTCTGACAGAAAAAACATCAACCCCTGAAGCTAAGTAAGAAAATGTTGGCAATGTGAAATAAAATCTTGTATCAAAAAAGTACACATGCCAACTGGTCTGAATAGTAGTTTTTGCTTGTTCAAAGATACATACAGAAGGTATTGTATATAGTCTAGTAAGATCATGGACTCTGTTTCTAAACAGAGGGTTTTATTCTTGGCTTTGTGACTTTTAAATATATTATTTAATCTTTTTATGTCTTAGTTTCCTTCTCTTTAGGTTTGTTTTGCTTTTGCACTGGGACTCAAACCCAGGACCTTGTGCTTACCAGGGAGGCGCTCCTTCTCTTTAAAAATGAGGATAACAGTAATACTGTCTGTTGACTTCCTCACAGAGTTATTGTGACTCAGAGAAATACAAAGTACTTAAAACAGGGCATGGCACATACTAAAGAGTATAGATTGTCAAGTCAAACTGTGAGTCCCCAGCTAAGGATAATACTGGGAAATTATTCTGTGGTATACTAGTGTCAGAAGCTTAAGAAACAATTTTCTGTAATAGAATTGAAAAATAAGTATCAGATAGATACTTGACTCCATGATCCCAAGTTAGGAGTATATTTTAAACTATGGAAACATCTAAAATTTTACAGAGCTTTAAAAATTAATTACAACAGTTTTCAAACCTAATGTATAAGACAATGAGAGACCCAAAAGACTTTACTTGTACTGATTCCATTTACAATAACCTGATATGAAAAGTGTTTTTGTTATTACTCCATTTTAGAAAGCAAACTGAAGCACAGTAATTATGTCAACTTGTACAGGGCCAGAGATACAGCTCAGTTGTTGACTGGCAAGTGAAAGATCCTGAGTTCAATTCCCAGTATCCAAGAAAAACCAAAATAACCAAAAAAAGTTACTCATATGTAGTCACTACATGAATGAGACTTAGCTAAAGAAAATTTCCTCCCTAAATTTTATTATCATATAAACTAACCTGTAATTATATGTATATAAAATATTTTTTTACATATCACAAATTGTAGTCTGTACAATTTTAAATGATCTTATGAAAACTAGTTAAACCTAGTTAAATTAACATAAATAGTTATATCATTTTGTTTGACATGTTTTTTAATTTTCAGTTCTAGGGATTGAACATAGGCTTTTGTGCAGGCTAGATGAGTGCTTTCCACTGAGCAGTATCCTCAGCCCAGATACAGATATTATTAAAATTATGACAATAAAAGCATAATTAAAAATGTTGAGCTCTAAAGAATTGATTTTGTTTAATGGTTTTTTCAGTACTGGGGATGAATTCCAAGAATGCACTACTACCTGTATCACTGGCCCTTTCTATTTTTTATTTTGAGACAAGATCTTCCTAAGTTGCTCAGACTGGACTCAGACTTGCCATGCTCCTGCCTCAGCTTGCTGAGTAGCTGGGATTACAGATGTGCACCAGCATACCCCAGCAAGTTAAATTTCTAAGTAAAAACATTTTAATGATTTAGTTGTGGTTACATTTAATACCACCAATCTGTATGATTTGATGCATGTTATTCATAACATTATCGGAGAGAAAATAGTTACAGATTTTGGTAGAACAAATGGCCACCTTTTCTGGTATTTGACATTTTTTAATGTCAAACGTATTAGTTTTTATTGGTGTAATTTCATCAAGAATTCATTTGAGATTTTTCTCAACTGTAAATTGAGCCAGGAACAATTCAGACTTAGGGAAGTAAGAAAAAAATACAAATAAAAAGTAAAATGGAAACTATCTTTGCTTGTAATTTAATTTTGTGGTTAAAAAAGATTTTTAAAAACATTTAGATTTAACTATGTTTAAATCTAAAAGTAAAACTTGTAAGCTTTTTAAACTTGTCAGTTTATTTGTATACAACTTGTTCTTTTCATCTTAGTAAAACAGGCCCTTTGAAGAGGTGGAACAGATGTCTCTGAAGAGCCGTTAGTTACACTAATTCCAAAACTTCTAATGAGATGATTCTCTTTCCTCATTTACCACCACCATTGCAATGATGTGTTGTCTATTAGTTGCCATTCCACACTTTTATCTATCACAGCATTCATAAAGGGATCAAGTCTCCACAATATTTGGACATGTCTGCCATAATTTAATCTAAATGATAACTTGTGCATAATTTAATTTGAAGATAACTTCTTTTTTCAGCTCTAGAGGCTGAACTTTGCTCATGCTGCCTACTCTGCAGGCTCATAGTGCTTTGAAATAGAATTTGTGGCTTCTTTCAGGCTTTTTTTAACTACTATATTTCTCTGACAGTATTGGTGGCAACAATTTAGGCATTCAGGAGGACCATTCCAGCAGAAAGTCTGCCTGTGATCTTTCTTCCATGGATGTTGCCTCTCAGCATTCATTAGGAGCCCAGTCTGTTGCATCATCTAATTCATCTACTTCTTCAAAAAGAAAGAAAGGAAAAAAAGAAAAGATAGAATGTAAGTGGAATTCTACCTGATGAGTTTTCTACTAACAATTATTTTATGGTAGTGATCTAAAATTATGGTTTGATTCCATAAGAATTTCTTTATGATAATATAATTAGTTTTCATATTTATTGCTATAATACATACCATTTTGAGATATAACATTGTAAATCTTTTTCTTAATGCAAAGCACATAAATAGTTTAAAAAGTTAAGAATTACAGATAAACAGTCATCCCAGAAATACAAATCCTCTATTGCAATTCTGTTCAGAAATAACTGCTATGAACATTTTTGGTGTCCGTTTTTCTAATGTCCACATAAAAGCACACATACACGCACACATACCTCTACTAGAAAAACAAATGCAAGTAGCACTATTTTGCAATTGCTCTTTAAAAAAATGTTATAGTACCCATTGTGGTGGATACCTGTAATCAGAGTGCTCAGGAGGGTGCAGCTGGAAGATTACTGCAAGTTCAAGGCCATCCTGGGCTACATGGCAAGTCAAGCCAGCCTGAATTACATAGCAAGACATGCACTTTTTAAGTGATAGTTTAATAAATATGTTAAGCTTATTGCTGCAAAAAAGCAAAATACTTTACAGAATATTATACACATCTCCAAGGATCATTGACCAATTTTTCTACAGGCCTATCTATATTTGAGGAGATAGAAAATTGTGCAAAAGCTTCTTAAATCACATTATGGCTTCAAGCTAGGGAGTGATTTTCTTTCAAAATTGTTTCTTCTGGCTGTAAAGATAAATTCTGCTTATTGAGTTAAAAAAAAAGTGGTGGGGAATGTAAAAGTATGGGAAATGAGTAGAGGAAGGATATGAGTATTAGGAACACTGTATTTGAAAATAAAAAATTGCCAGTTATCCCTCTACCTAGAGATAACTAATGTTAACATTTTAATAGTTAATTTTATTTTTATTGTGATAAAATACACAAAATATAAAATTTGTCATTTTAATCTTTTTTAGGTGTACAGCATCATATTACACTTTTTAGGTGTTCAGTGAATTTGCACATTCAGTCATGGAACTGTCACTGCTATCTATTGCAAAAACATTTTTATCTTCCCATACTGACACTGTTCATTAAACAATGCCCCTTCTTTCTTTTCTCCCCCAGGCTGATAACCACTGTCCTATTTTCTGTCTCTATGAATTTGACTACAGCAGAATTTGATAGTAATTGTTCTTTGGGGTTTAGGCTTATTTTACTTAACATAATGTGTTCAAGGTTCATTTCTGGTATAACATGTATCAAAAATTAGAACTTCTTTTTTGGTTTTTTGAGATAGTCATGCTGTGTAATTCAGGCTGGCCTCAAACCTTAGGTGATCCTCCTGCCTCAGACTCCCAGGTGCTGGGATTACATGTGTGCATTGCCAGGCTCGGCTCAGAGTTGCCTTTTAAAATTTTTTTTAATCTTCCTTAGTAACTCTAATATTAGAAATCAGCTTTATAAGAAATTTACTCTATAGGGTTGGATTCATTCACTGGAAATGTTCAAAGCTCACTTGTTGATGAGGAAAAAGTACAGTCCAGCTCAGAACGTGGTTCCCATCAAGGAAAGAAATCTGGGACCAGTAGCAAACTCACTGTTAAAGATTATGAGCAGACTTTCGACACTGATGGCACTTTGGAAGAACTTTCTGGGCATTCTGTGAGGTAAAGTAATATATTTATGCAGTTAATTTTTTTCTTTGTAGTTTTTTTAAATAATATGTGTTTGTAGTACATAATATTTACATTCCTTGTGGAGGGTTGGTACATGTACTTAGTACATCTTAATTCCTTTTTTTCATTTCCTTTCCTTTTCCTCCCTGTCCTCTTCACCAATCTCCTTTTTTTTTGTTTTTTGGTACCAGGGATTGAACTCACAACCTAGCGCTTGTCAGGCAGGTGCTTAGGCTGCTGAGCTAAATCCCTGGCCTCTCTTCACCAATCTCTTTATCTAATTTTTTCTACTTATATGTGGCACATAATGTTTACATTCTTTGTGTAGAGTTGCTACATGTACATAATACATCTTAATTCCTTTTTTCATTTCCTATTCTTCCCCTTTTTCCCTATTCTCTTCCCTTACCCTCTGAAAAAAATCTGCCTCCCAACTTCTTATTATTTATCTTTTATTTTCCTTTTTAGTTATACTTTTTGGGTACTGTAATTCACAGATAACTAAAGTTGTGATGTCATTGGTCTTCAGATACTGTAATTCATGTATAATTAAAGTTACTGTATCATTTTTCAAAGGCTCTTCATGGTAAATTTCACTTTGGCATTTAATTATGTGTGTCTGAGTTAGTAGATAATTTTGTACTTTTTGAATAGTCTTTGTTCAGACCTCTACATTTTGTGTTTTAGAATATGGTCGCCTTTTATCTAAACTTTATAACTTTTCCTTCAGGAATTCACTACATCAAGAACAATCCACCTCTCTCATTTGAAAGCCCTCACCATCTGTTCTTGACTGAGTCTTTTCATTGAGCATCTGCCTTTCTTTGAGTTCTTTGAGAGATTGATTATCTTACAGGACAACTGTAAGAACCTAATTTTATTTTGTGTGTTTTACTGGACTACCAGAGAGTATCTCATTTTTTTGTCTATAAAATTTGCTTTCCAAATTGTAGCTATATTCTTCCACCCTTGCAGTACTACTACTTGACATCCTTTTGGTCTTATTGTTGAAAGTACTTCTAAACTTTTTCTCACCTTACTCTAGAGATTTTGAAATCTCACTTTTTTTTTTTAAACAGAAAAGAAAGTCTAAGAACAATGGTATAGAATTTCAAATCAACATAACAGATTAACAATGGTTATTATAAAGTAGTTGCTCAGATTGCAAGATATAGGCATAAAAAATGATTGAACAATGAAAGCACAAACCATTCTTTTGATGAGCTAACAGAGATTAGTATGTATGATTATCTGTCCTGTGTGTGTGTGTGTGTATATATAATCTTTTTCCTTCTTTTTTTTGAAATCTCACTCTTAATATAATTTGCATACCTTGTGTTTTTCCCTTATACTGTGTTATACATTACATGCTTACGTGTTCCACATAACTTGTTATTGCTTCCTGTGTAGTTCTATGAATTCATTTCACATGACTTTTCATTCTCTATACTAGTCTTGGCCTTTCTGGCAGTGAAGGCTCTGAGAAGACAAATCAATTTTTTTTAAGTAACTATATGTTTTTTCTGATATATCACATACAAGTAACGATTTGTAAAGCTTTCATATTGTACCATTAATACTATCATTGCTGCATTTAAAATTTAATTTGTCAATGATTTTATGATTTATAAAACTTTACCTTTTCTTAAGAGATAGTATGATTTAGTTTGATAAAATCTAAAAAGTTAAACATTCCTAACATACAGGATCCATAGCAAAATAAATTTGGTAAGTGTTCCATATTATAATTTCATGCCTGCTGTCCTACTCATGAAAAGTCACAGTAGATAAAATAATTTGAAACTTTGATAAAGAGGAACAAAGATTTAAAATTTTTCGTTTAACTTGTGAGTTTTGTGTTGCTGTTGGTGGTTTTTTTTTGTTTTGTTTTGTTTTTTGGTAGACACTCTTTGTTCCTATCCCCTTCCCTTTCTTTTTATTTTTATTTTTTGGACAATTTAATAAAGTCATTGAAAATACACCTTGGGAAATACTAGTTTGAGGGAATCTTTTGTGAAAAACAAATATAAATTCATCTTGTGAAACCATAAAGTGATATATAGAGTAATTTCTTTTGTTTGATGTTGTGTTGGAATTTAAAATGACAATTGTTTTTTTAGATTCCATAAATGAAATTGACAGGCTGTTAGAAATACAGTAGTTCTCTTTATTTTCAGTTTCATTATGGATGGTTTCAGTTATCCATTGTCAGTTATAGTTCAGAAATATTAAATGGAAAATTCCAGAAATAAATGATTCATAAATTTTAATTTATACACCATTCTGATGGTGATATATCAGGCAATCTAGCTCCCCCCACACACACTGTATTAATTATCCCTTTACTGGTGTATTGATAGTATATATCTTACCCATTGATCATTAGTCAATTGATAACCATCTTGGTTGTCAGATTGACTACCTTCATTGTGATAGTTTTATTTAGTAATAAAATAAAAACACAAGTTTTTAGTATTTATTTAGTAATAAAAACACAAGTTTTGTTTACTAATAAACACATTTTATTTAGTAATGGCCTGAGAGCTGCTGATTCAGATATGCCTAACAGAAGTTTGAATGTGCTTTTTTTTAAATGAAAAGGTAAAATGATTTGACTTAATAAGGGAAAAATTATATTCTGAAGTTGCTAAAATCTAAAATAAAAATGATTCTTTTATCCATAAAATTGTGAAGGAAAAAGCAACTCATGGTTGTTTTGCTATCACACCTCAAACTGCAGAAGTTGCAATCACAGAGTGCAATAAATGCTTTTAAGGTAGGAGAGACATTAAATTGTGTGTGAGGAAACCTAGTGTATCCAAATTTGATTTGATCCAAGGTTTCAGGCATCCAATGTACATATCCCTCACTTACAAAGGGTGTAGTGTAATAAATTAAAGGCCTTGATAAACAAGTGAGTAGCTCTTAAGACCACTTTTTTCCCATCCTCAGAGACAAGCTCTCACTATGTAGTTCAGTCTGGGCTTGAATTCACTATGTAGCCCAGCCTATGTCCTTGAACTTGCAGTGACCCTGGTCTCAGCCTTCCAAGTGCTGGGATAACATGTTTGCAGCATCATGCCCTGTCACCCTTCAAGACTACTTTTATTTATATGTTTTCATGCTGGATATAAGAGACATTTTTACCTTTGAAAACTGTCAATGTTTATCAGAAGCCAGAAGCAAACTTATGCTAGAATACTGTGCTAAATATGGATTATCTTTAATTTGTTAGTAAATATTGAGTACAAGGCAATTTGGTATTATGAGAAATGATACCGCTTATGTGCTTACTTGTGTAAGTATAGGTTAGCTAGGTGCCTTAAGAGTTATTACAATCCCACTGTTATGAGAGATTAGTGTTTGGGAAAGTATAATAAAAGCTATAGATAAACATGAATGTATATATGTATATATACGTGTGTATATATATTTTTGGAAGGGGTTTGAAATAGTGTCTTGCTATTAGTTCAGGATGGCCTTGAACTCACTGTGTAGCGCAGATCGGACTTGCCTTAGCCTCCCAGGGATTACAGGCATGTGCCATCATGCCTATCAAACAAGTATTTTTTACAGATGAATAATATGAAAATGATTTCCTCTGATTTCTGTGATTTTTTTATTTAACAAAAGAAAATGATTAATTTGTCATTTAATTTTTAATATAAAGTGATACTTCACTCTTTCAAGGGCCTATTTTTAAAACTTATAAGATAAAATGTCTTCCATACATTTGTATTTTTATTGTTATATAATGTCTATTCTAGAAGACTTTGCTTCAGACTTCAGTGAATGAGTGATAATGTTGTTTGTAGAAGAAAAAGTACCAATTTAATCAAGAGATACTCCCCACTTTGCATTTTATTTTGGGTAAATTTGTACTTAGCTTGTTCAATACTATAAATCTGTCTGAGGAATATTCATAGTCATTTGCTCAGTCTAATCATTCTGTCACATGAATAGGTACCTAAGTCATGCTTTTGAAAGCTAATGTTTGTAAAGAAAGGTATTTTGTGTTGCAAATTGTTTAGCCAAAAGTATTTCCTTTCTCTAATGATTTTATGAAATAAAAATTCTAGTGTCTCATCAGACAAGGGAAGATCTCAGAAAAGTCCAACTTCTCCTCTGTCTCCAAGTTCCCAGAAATTGACACAATTTGACCTTCCAGGAACTTCATTAGAAAGATCTAAATCCACTGTAATAACACCTCCAACTACAACAGGATTTAAACCTAATGCAGCTTTTACTGATACACATCAAGCTGGCAGCAGAACAACAGAGGTGGCTTCCACACCAGGCAAGTAGATCCATCCTGTTACAATTTTTAAAGTAAGATGTTACATGTTTAGCCCCTGAAAACACCTTTTCTTTCACTTGAGCCATAGATAAATGTTATTTCAAGTGAATATCATTATTCTTCAAAGTAGTAAATAAATACCATTCAAGAAATTAAATACTAAAAATCGTGACAGATTTGATAATGGCCATCTTTTCCTGTGTTAAAATACACCTGAAAAATGTATCCCATATAAATACTCCTGGGTGATTATAGATTTATGTTTGTATACCCATATGCATGCAGCACACACATAACAAGTAATTATTAAAATGTATTAGTAAGTCACTATCTTTTTGACAAAGAAAAACAGACTTGTCCTTAACTCATAGAAATGAATTTTAGAAATCTGAGATGTAATTTCATATAAACTTTTTCATTTGACTATTCTGCACACCAGGTTCTAAGCGATTTTCTCCTGCTGGCCTCCAACATCGTATGGCAATTGAACTAAGTTATCTGAATGCCATTGAGGAATCAGTGCGCCAACTGTCAGACATAGAAAGAGTTAGAGGGATTTCACTTGCTCAGCAGGAGAGTGTTTCTCTGGCTCAGATCATAAAGGTATTTGTGGGCTTTTCTTTTTTGTCTTTCTGGAGGTCTTTCTCTTTGCTATTTAAAATAGTCTTGATGAGTTTTAAAACAAACTTTTAAGTTACTAAATTAAAAAAAGTGTTAGATATTCAGAATCTATAAGTAACCCTGTATAAAGCTATCATATAGGATGTTGTCACATTGATTACTTTTCTTTCATTGCTCAGACAAAGTGCCTGATACCCAAAATTGAAGAAGGAAAGATTTATTTAGCTCAGTTTGTGGAGGTTTCAGGTCATAATCAGCTGGCTCCAAGTTGCAGTGGCCCAGAGGGCCAACAGTTTATAGGAGCAAAAGCAGCAAGAAGAAAAGTGGGGAAGAGCAAACCTCTTTTTCCTCCCTTATATTCTACATAGGCCACCTGGTCCTGTGTGTGTGTAGCACCCACAAAATCTCCTTGCCCTCCTCTTGCACGGAGTGAAGACCCTGGCTCCCTGCTGAGTCCCTCAGTTAAACTTTTAAACCTCTCAGATTGATACAATGTATCGATCATAACAGATACTAAAAAGAAAATTAAAGATACAGTTTTTGGTACCAGGCGAATAACAATCATTCTTTCTCAAGAACTTTGTTTTCCTTGTTTTATCCTTTGTTTTTCCCTTGTGCTAGGAAACGCAGGGTTTTACCTGTGCTAGGATAAGCATTCTGCCACTGACATACATCCCGAGTCCTTATGCTTTGTTTTACTGATAGTGTAAAAATTAGTGATTCTTAATATTTTCTCTTTTCGTTGACAACCAGAGCTGGTTGAATTGTTTAAATGCTTTATTTGTACCAGGTCAGAAAACATTTTTAAGATCCACATGTTTGATGAAGTCAGTATAATACGGAATTTTCCTTAGCAAAAAAAAGTCTACTGGGAAAAGAGTAATGTTCCTCTGTGGAGTGCTATTGGTATAATTTTTTTTTTAATCTGAGATTATTTGCATAAAATAAGATATGCAGAGTAGTATTTTTGGTTTTTGTCTTTTGAGGCTTTTTTAGTACTAGAAGTTAAACTCAGGGCTTTTGCCCTGAACTACATTCCAACCCTTGCCTTTTATTTTTATTTTGAGGCAGGATCTTACTAAGTCACTGAGTTGCCTGGCTTGGGCTGAAGCTTTCAAGGGGCCATGAGTACTGAGATTATAGGTGCATGCTACCAAACCCAGCAAGATTTGCACATTTTAAGCGTGCAGTTTTCATAAGTTTGACTAGAATATGTATGTAATGACCACTTAATCAAAATACAGAAGACTTCTTTTACCCTAGAAAGTTGACAAATTTCATTTAAGCCTCAAGGTGATTACTGTTATGATTCCTATTTGCTATAGTTTATTACTCTTTGTCTTAGAACTTCATATAAATGAAAGTATACTTTGAACTATTTCATTTAGTGTATGTTATTTAACATACGTTAAATTTAAGGTTTGTCCTTGTCATTCTGTTACATTGTTTTTTTTTTCCCCCTGTAATATTCACTTTATTGGTGTCAAAAATATCTGTTCTCCTGTTGATGTACATTTGGGTTATTTCCAGTTTTTGGCTAATATAAACATTTCTGTCATGAATGTCTTTTACAGCTATGTTTATATTTTCATTTTTCTTGTATATGCTTCTTGGATAAAGTATAAATATGTGAAACTTTATAAGAAATTGCTGTACTGTTTTCCATAGTGATTGTAACAGTTTACTACAGTAATATATAAGAGTTCCAGTGTTTTGTTTTTTGGGCACCGAGGATTACCGGGGATTGAACTCATGACTTTGCGTTTGCCAAGCAGGTGCTTACACCGCTGAGCTAAACCCCTGGCCCAGAGTTCCAGTTATTTTTATTCTTACTGTCATTGAGTATTAGCAGTCTTTTTTTTTTTTTAATAGACATTCTAGTGGGTGTGAAGTAGTATCTCAAGGTGGTTGTAAAGTGTATTTGTGGTTCTAATCTGTATTTTGTAATAAGATGAAGTTTTTTTTTTTTTTTTGTTAATGTCTGTTAGATCTTTTGCCCACTTGGATTGTCTTTTCATTACAGAGTTGTAGGAGTTCTTTATATATTCTAAAAACAAATCCTTTTCACTGTATTTCAAATGCTGTGACCCAGTTTTTGGCTTACCTTTTTATTTTTTAAATTGTGTCTAGTGAAGAGAGCAGATGTGTTTTTAATTTGGATAAAATCTCATTTTTAATCTTTTGTAGTAATGCCTTCTTTTTTCCTAAGAAATCTTTACATACCCTTAGATGTTAACAGAGATATTCTCATGTTTTTCCCAGAAGTTTTTGGCTTTAGATTTTGTATTTATCTTTGTTAAGTTACTTTTGGGGTTTGATATGAGCATGGAGTAAAAGATCATTTTTCTTATGTATGGATATTCAGTTCTAGTATCATTTTCTTAAAGACTTTAATTGTACTAACATGTTCATCAATGATTAAGTACTTATGTGTCAGTCTGTTTTAAAATAAAATTTCTACATTCGTTTTTTTTTTTTTTGTCTTTTTCCTTTTTATCGGTACCAGGGATCAAACTCACGACTGCCTGCTTGCAAGGCAGGCGCTTATGCCGCTGAGCTAAATCCCCAGCCCCCAAAATTTGTACATTCTTGGTGATCTGTCCCTAATGATATTGTAAATAATATTGTATTTATTTATTTATTTGGTACTGGGGATTTAATACATGACCTTGCACTTCCCAGGCAGGTACTTGTGCCCCTGCGCTAAACTCCCAGCCACAATGTATTTATTATTATGGCTTTATATAGTGAGTGTTGAATTCAGGATGTAATTTTTCCAACTTTGTCCTTTTTCAAGATGATTCTGGCTATTCTAGATATTTTATATTTTCATATAATAGTTAATATTGCATGGAATAATGGCAAGAAAAGGTCCTTGTGAAAAGGATACCTTTTGGTGGGCAGCATTTTAGATTACACTCCTGCTTCAGAGGCAGAATAAAACAATCAGAATGATGCAACATGATATATAATCTTTATTTTTAGACATAGGACATGTTTTTATCTCTTCTAAGGAGTTAAAGTTTTTACTTTATAATAAGCTTTTTGTTATGAGTTTTTAATCCTATAGGCATTAGAAATTTTTTGTTTTTCTACAGTGTTTGAATAAAGTGTAAGGTCATTAAATATTTTAATAAATGGCTGGTGACTATACTGCTCACTGCCTCTTCTTGTAGACTGTAGTTGGTTGCTCTAAGTCACTTACGTTAGAAAGATAGCATTGTGAGCCAGGTGGGGTGGCATTTGATCTGTAATCCCAGTGAATCAGGAGGCTTGAGGCAAAAGGATCATGAGTTTGAGGCCAGCTTGGGTAATTTAACAATACCCCAACTTTTAAAAAAAAAAGGAAACATTACATCATGTTTATTATAGTCACCGTGCTAAAAGTAGTTTAGTGTTTTAGAATAATAATTGACCATTTTTTATTTTTGAAGGCACAGCAGCAACGCCATGAAAGGGATTTAGCTCTTTTAAAATTGAAGGCTGAACAAGAGGCTTTAGAGTGTCAGAGACAGTTAGAAGAAACCCGGAACAAAGCAGCTCAGGTAATGTAGTTTGTAACAGGTACTCCCCTAAACCTACATTTGTATCTCGAAAATCACTGTGACAATTTTAATTATATATTAGTAAAAAAGATACAGATTATTACATTTTAGTACTTTGTGTGGAATAATTTCATTATTCCACTTGATTCTTGTAGCAACCCTGTGAAACATGTCGTAAAGTCTGATTTCCAATGTAAAGAAGTGGTGGCTGATAGTTACTGTGTCCATAGACACATTAACTCTGGAGTTACAGTTTATGCTGTGAAATCTAAGTTGTCAACAACTTTTTAAGACAGGTTAAGACAGTTAACCTATGAAATAATAATTAAAACTAATTTGGGTGGAGAGAGGCAGAAACCCAAGTTCTTTGTATTGTCTCCTTCATTTATAGGTCCATGCAGAATCATTACAACAGGTAGTTAAATCACAAAGGGAAGTAACTGAAGTCATTCAGCAAGCAACTTGTAAAATAACAGCTCAGCAAACAGAGACTGCTTGCCTTACCACAGATGCCGCTCACCAGATCTGTGAGGTGAGAGCCAAGGATACAGCCCCCCCCATCACACTTTTTTGGTGTTTTGTTTTGTTTTTAGTTCTTTGGTCAATTTGAATACCTTAGTCTTATCAGTAATGGCTGCTATCATCTAACAAAAGGAAAATTTGAACTAGTGACTTTCAGTGGGGCCCTTTTGAAATAAGCAGCACCATTAATTAGAGAGTGTTATGCTTTTGAACAATAGGCAGACAAAAGATGGACTGTAATTTCTGTTTTATCATAAACTTATTAGAAAAGTATCAACTTCAGTGATGTATAATCTATAAAAACATGATGGATACATTATTAGTACATGTATAATATGTATGTTCCTATAAATACCACTGTAATCAAGAATAGAATATTTTTTTCATTATAAAAATTCCTTTATGCCTCTTCATTCCTCAGTCTTAGATTATGGAAGCCACTATCTGCTTTGTATGATGTTTCATTTGTATACAGAATGATGTTAGTCGATGTCTTTTTTTTTTAAAACTGCACCAAGAGTAAAGCCAAAAATACTGTGGTTTCATTGTATTCTGTGTAAAAGATATTATAATCTATTGATAGTTTCATTTGATTTTAGCAATAATTTTTAAACAATTTAAGACTATTTGTGAAGTACATATTAAGAATACATGACTGTTAAATGTTGGGTAGTATGGGATTGTACAAATAAATAAATATACAATTGAGTCTTTCTCAAATGTACTTCACCATTGTAAGGAAAGACTTAGAGGGTAAACAATAGTTAATTCTAAAAGGAAGGCATAATTTTGGTAAATTACTGCTTAATTATGGCTTGCAGATTTTCTGCTAATTTGTAGTTTGTAAAGCCTTAGAAATCATGTAGTCGAACTCTGTTTTTATAAGATGAGTTTCTTAGCACTCAGGCTAGATGGCTTGTCCGAATATTTCATCTGTTAGTGGTAGAATTTGCTCACTTCTAGTCCAGTGATCTTCCCAAGACACTGTGCTCCCTCTCAGTTTCTCCGTGACATAATCTTATATATGTACTTTTATTTTTGTTGTATTTAGATGGCAGAGTTGACTCGAACACGTATCTCAGATGTTACTACTGCCTCAGGAACTCCCATAGCAACACTGTATGACCACCAACGGCAGCATCTTCCAGATTTCATGAAACAACTGAGGACCAGAGCTGAAACAAATAGGTTACTGTTTATTCAGGGGATATGTTGTGAATGTCTGTTATGTCCTAGATCAGTGATGGCAAACTTCTTAGAGCTTTCAGTGATACAAACAGTCCATTGTAGTATGCATAGTATAGATTTGCTAACACCGTTCTAGGCATTCTTGTGGATACTTGGAGTGTAGATAATGGGCTTATAGCCTAGTATGGAAGATAAACATTGAAGAAATAATCAGTTAAGTGAAGAAAAACTTAAAAACGGAGTTAAGTGTTATAAAGGAAACAAATACATGTCTCAGATAAGTAACACTAGACTTTGAGTATTCTGGGGATACAAGGAGTCAGAGAAAGTATTTCTTTTTTGGCGGGGTGAGGGATATGGGAATCGAACTCATGACCTTGCACTTGCCAGGCAGACACTTACGCTGCTGAGCTGTATCCTTGGCCCCCAAGAGAAGGTATTTCTGAAGAACTAAAACAAACTAATAGTGAGATCTAGTGGATGAGGAGTCAGTAATACAAAGAAGGTAAAGAATAGGCAGATCGAAAGCCTTGAAGGGATAGGGGATAGTGGTGCATGCAAGTAAACTAAGCATTGTAGGTGGCTAAGGAACGAAGCACCATAAGTTCAAATACAGACTGGGCAGCGTAGCAACAGTCTATCTAATTTTTTTTTTTTAAAGATAAAAAGCTTGGAAGGAAGAAGGAACATATTTAAGAAAAAAGAAGATCAGTATAACTAGGGGCATAGGGCAAAGACAATAGTATGAGATGAAAAATCAGGTGGGATCTTGCAGATTTGGAGATTGGGAGTTTATTCCAGGAACAAAGAAAAGTTAACTAAAGGAATTTTTAGGCAGACTGGAGTAACATAGTCATATTTGTGTATGTGGGTTTTGTTTAAAATCATATTTTCATTCTCTAATTCATAGATTAAAAAGTCTCTGTTTACATTCATTGATATTAGGAGTGATAATGTGTTATTTTCCTTTTAAGTAGAATATATTCTTTATGTACTGTTATGTTCTTTTTAATTATTGAATGCTTTTTTTCTTCAATATTTTGTAACAGCTATTTTGTAATTTCTATGCACTCAGGATTTTATCTCATATTACTGTTGAATAGTCTTTGAACTCTTTCCTTTATTGGAGACTAAATGTTTAATCAGTTTCTATTTTCTTTGTAGGATAAACCAATCAGTTTCACACTCTCAGAGTAAAGAAGGGACTCATGACTCAAAACATCAGAAGTATTCACCTTCATATAATAATTATTCTGAATCATCAAGATACAAGAATCATGATCGAAGGTAAAGAAAATGTGATCTGGTAAACTCTGAAAATGACTTCAAGTTTGCTTTTCCTTGACTTCTTAATCTTACTTCTGAAATGGAACAATATCTGCCTTTTTAAGGTGACTTCCTTTGTTTAATTAGCTAATTAACAAAATAATTCATGTAATGATACAGCTACTATTCTTTGAGAACCTAGTTGTACAATCACTGTATAAGTTTGTTTTCCCTATATGTAATTTTTACAGCAACCTTCCAAGGCAGATATTATCTTAATAAATTAGGGAACTGAGGTGTATGAGGAAAATGTTAAGAAAATCGCCAAGGTCATATGACATATCAATGAATTTAACATTGACTTACCTGGCTGCAAACACGGTTTCAATTCCTTGTCTGTTTGACTGAAAAACTCTGTTTGCTGTCTTGTATCTTTTACTTTATAACTTTGTTAGAAGATTTATCCTTTCTGAAATATTTATTAAACCAGACCATTAGATCACATACCGGTAAATACTGATATAAATACACACTAAAAGTGGTAAAAATAGGAACAAAAGTGACCAGACCTTCCTTGAGGATGAAGATGAATGACCCTTGAACTGAGTTCTGAAGTTAGTGGTTCATTAGGCAGAGAAGGAAGGACATTGTAGAGAATACAATAGCATGTACAGCAGATCTCAAAACTGGATCAAGATAAGCTTGTATAGTGTGTAAAATTTTAAAATATTTTTAAATGAATGAGTAAACCAAAAAAGAGGAAGAAAGGAGAAGGAAAACCTGTGGGACAATGGTGTTATGTGTTTGGTTTGTTAACTAAAGAATAAACAAAATAAAAAAATTCATTAGATATTTGGAACTTGAAGCTTAATGTTGGGGAAGATAAATATAGTGATACAGATTTGAGATTCAATCTTAAGTAACAGTAGTAAGCAAGTGAAAGATACACAGCAAAACTTATTGAGGTGGAAAGAGAATCAAGTGAGAGTAAAATCATGAAATATAAGAACAGAGACATTTTACTTAACATTTGACATAGTTTCAGGCTTTCAGGAAAGTTGCAAGAAAAATACAAAGTCCTTGAATACTTTCATCCAGATTACACTGTTAATATCTTATCACATTTTCTTTAGCATGTAGAGCTTTTAAAGAAAGTAGACCTCAGTACTATGTAATATTGCAGAGAAAAAAATTATTAGTTGGATTTGACTGTTAGAAGTTGGGGTAAAATTTATAGTTAGGCAGATAGGTAGAGAACAGTTCCAGTGCAGCTATTGGGATATAATTAGATTATGATAAATCATTATGTTAATGAAAGGAAATGGAAATAGTGAATGAGTGCCCCCTTTTCCTTTTATTTTCCAGAACTGAAAGGAAAAAAGAGAGTGATAACCTACCAATAGTGATTGCCTATTAAAATGATTTTAAAATGAAATCTTCCCTCATATTCATCTCTTTCAAACACCTTATGTTTTATATGGCATTTTTGTTCATATCTTGATTATAAAGCATAGTACTTTAGTCAAATTTACTTTGAAGTTGTGATCCTTATTTAATTGCTTGTTTGTTTTCATAATATTCATATATAGAAGTAGCAGTAATAATAGCCGTAAAGAAAGTCCTTCAACTCTGTCTTGTAAGGAAAATGAAAAGAAACTTCATGATGAAAAGATAAAGTGTTCAATTGATGAACAAATTCAAACTGCTGCAGATGATTCTTTACAGAGTGATAACATTCCATCTCTTCCTGATGAGAAAGGTAACTTTTCTCGCAAGCATGTGCATTATCATTTATTATAAAAACTAGAGGAAAAGTGATCTTTTTAGAAAGTGGCAAATTACTTGACTGAATTATGTTCTAGTATTTTGTGGAAAATAGTAATTTGTAACTAAGATTTCTAAGCACAGCAGTGAAAGAGTAGCCTAGTTTCTCCTTGCTGTTTATAGTAAAGAAATTACTAAACAAAAAATAATCTGAATTTGAAGACTTAGGAAATTCTCAGCTTCTCCATATTGTAAAAAATGAGGGAGAATGTTCTAGAGAGAATACCAAGGGTGTGGCTTGACAATCATTCCACAAAGGGATTACCATTGGGTTTTATCAGCCGCCTCAGCAGAAGCCAAGAATAGAAATGGAATTTTACCAACAGAGGTGCTGCCAATTTAGACCAAAGGCAGGGTGAACTAAAGTGGGGACATTTAGACTTCCAGGATCTATAGGATAGATCAGTATAGCTTCCTGGTTGCAAACATGCTTGTCCTTTAAGAATCACTTCGTGGGCAATTCACAGATCAGGAAGGCTGCTGCTGTCACCACAGGCCCAGATGGCAAGGCTGTCTACTCAGTTCTAGAGGCAGGGCTGTGTCTTTTTTTCTTTCTTTCTTTTTTTTTTTTTTTCCTTTATCAATAAGAAATTTACTTGCTTTTTGAAAAAGCAAATGATAGGGGCTGGGGATTTAGCTCAGCAGCATAAGCACCTGCCTTGCAAGCAGGCAGTCGTGAGTTCGATCCTTGGTACCAATAAAAATGAAAAAGACAAAAAAAAAAAAAGAAAAAGCAAATGATGATATTGTCCAGAAAAATTTAACACATTTATTTATAATTGTTTTAAAGTCAAACTGCTAAAACTTTGTCAATAAAACATTCTGACTTCAGTTAGTGCTTCACATCCTGACTTTTATATTAAAAATTCATAGCAAATGAAAATGGACACATGCCAATATTTGATTTTAGTCCCCTGTTTTTCTACGTGTAATCATATATTTATGGTAAGAAATATTTAATGTTCAGAAATGAAAGAGGAAGAAGTGTGTGTGTGTATGTGTGTGTGTGTGAGTGTGTGTGTGTGTGTGTGTGTGTGTGTTTGATCATGAAGTGTTTCCTGTCATACTAGCTTCTTTTTTTTTTTTTTTATTGGTACTGGGAATCGAACTCATGACCACGCGATTGCAAGGCAGGCACTTAGGCCGCTGAGCTAAATCCCCAACCCCCATACTAACTTCTTACACACATTCTCTATGTGTGTACCATGTGCTAGTTGGATGTCTTTTGGTGTAATGGTTAGATTTGTTATGGATAGAATACAGGTTAGTGTTTTCAAAAAGACCTACCAGATAGACCTCATTTGCCTCCTGCAGAGCTCCAGTAAACCATGCTTTATAAGGGTAGATCCATTTTGAACACCTGAGCTGTTTTTTTTTTTTACATCAGACTATAAAAGAGGAATTTGTGAATAAAAAACTCAAAGGACTTCTGACAACATCTCAATTTATGGAGTACCACAATACCAGGATGATAATGAAGAGGCTCTTCACTTCTCAAGTAGCAGCCATCCTCTTACAAGTGACTGTGGTAGCCAGTTGCTTCTTTTGTGTTTTACCACTAGTTGATTTACAAGTAGTCTGCTTTATAGATGACATGGTCTAGAGACCTCCTTATTTACCCCTTTTCTCCTTATGGAACTTAATCAACTAGAGGTGACACTGGTGTGAACAAGCCATTGTGACTTGGTTATAAGCTATGAACATCCATCTCCTTATTTTTAGGGACCAGACTGCCCTTGAGACTGAGGGTATGAGGAGCTGCTCCTGCTTCAGTGTGCTTACAGTGCGAGGGTACCACACAGTTAGACCCCAAAGGAGAAGCTACTATCATGATGGATCCAGAAGGCAGAGTAATAAGCCAAAGAAGATCATAAGCTACCATCATGGTGGATCCAAAGGGCAGAATAATAAGCCAAAGAAGATTATTCGCTAACCTTAAGGGCTAATGGAATTTTCCTTGCCAGGACCTGCTTGGAGCCACACCTCTTTTTTTCTTATCCATTGTCTCCCATTTAGATAGGTACCTTTATTATTTGTCTGTCCCATCAGTGTATTTTAGAAGCACTGGTTTTATTTCTCCAATTTTATAGTTCACATAAACTGTAAACTTTTGCCTTGGATAGAATATTATCTTGAATTTTACCTATATCTAATTGTATTAGTTTTTCACTGTTGAAACAAAATATCTGACATGCACAGCATAAAGGAGAAAAAGTTTATTTTGGCCATTTTAGAAGTTTCTGTTCATGGTTGGCTAGCTCAAAAAGAGAAACGTGGCAGAAAAACATGTAGACTTGCATATGGAAGGAAAGTTACTCATATCATGGCAGCCAGGACGAGAGAGTGGGAGTAGAAGAGGGAGACGGGGACGGCGACAGACCAGTGAGTAGGTACAGTCCCTCATGGTAATGGACCCATCCATACACACCCAGAAGTGTGCTTTTATTAATCTCTCAAATGTATCTCAAGCCAATCAATAGTCATGATTCAACATCATACTAATTTAGTATTCAGTACAACTTTAGATTTGGAGTTGATGCCATGATGAAGACTTTGGGGACTGTTACAATGAGGTGAATATATTTTTCATATGTCAAGGACATGAATATGAGAGGCGGGCAGAGAATGAAATATTGTAGACTGGATTATGCCTCCCTATAAAATTGCTGTTTCGAATCCCACCCTTATATGACTATTTGGACATAGGATTTTAAGGAGGTAATTAAGGTTAAATGAAGTCATTAGGGTAAACTTCTAATTTAGTAGGACTGGTGTCCTTAAGAGAAGAAGAGGTTGCAGGAATACACTCACAAAGAAAAGGCTTTGTGAGGGACACAGCCAGATGGCATCTGTCAGTCAGGAAAAGACGCCTTTTAAAACCAACTACTGGCACCTATGGGCTCCTGTATGGACTGCTATCCTCCAGACCTGTGAGAAAATAAATCCTGTTGATTAACCTACCCATTTTGTGACCTTCTGTTATAGCAGCCCAAGAAAATTAATGAAATAGTTTATAAATGTTGGGAGTGTATGCTCAGAGTTTTATAAATGTGCACAATCAAGACTACTTTGTGAGCCCAACATGGTGGTGCATGTCTAATTACAGCACCCTGGGAAGATTGTAAGTTTATTCCTAGCTTAGGCAGTTTGGTGAGACCCTATCTTAAAAAATAAAAAAGAGGTTTTGGTATACTTTGGTATAGAGGTCCTGGTTCAGTCCCAGTACTTCCAAAAAATGTTCTGTGGACCACTTAGTTAAACATTCATGAGATTCATTTAGGATTGGACCTGAGAATGACCACTTCCATATCATAGGAAAAAAAGGTGTATAAAAGTGATAGAGAAATTATTTGTTCCATTTCTTCTGTTAGACAGATTTAAGTTCTACTAAATTTTGATAATAGTTTTATAATTAAAGTACTGATGACAAATTTGTCAATATCTGTGAATTTGGATAGATTAAAAAAAAGTATGACTTTTTAAATGCTGGATTTCAAGTATTTACCAAGATGCCAGGCTTCCAGTAATAAATAAATAACTGTCAAGTGACAGTTTTGAAGTATCACGTACTGCAGCCTTTTGACTTAGTTAACGAATTCATGCAATATTAAATTAATAAAATACTTCGACTGCTATTTCTAGTCATGATGGTGGAACAAGGACTAGATGTACTTTTTCTCCTAAAACAGCTAAAATATTAGAGAAAACATTCGGAATAACAGTTTTCAAGGCATTGTATATCAAGTATTGTGTATCATTGTATAGCAATGATGCTGACTTAGAAGAGACTGAAAGCAAATGAGTGCAAATGGTTATCTCAACTTACTGCCTAGAGCACTGGTGGTGAAGCAAAGGCATATATGCCACAGTGGGGATGTTTGTGTCATTGAAAGCTCTGAAAGTTCACCATCACTAGTCCGGAGGGTTTTGAGACCACGAATCATGGCATCCACTGATATCTGTGAATTGAAAAAATAAAATTAGGAGTTCAGAGAGGCCAAAGCCACTGGACTTCACAAGTCAAACACAAAACAGAAATTGAGCCATTAGAAATTTGTATGTAGACTAAAACATAGGAGAACACCTACATGACCTTCAGTTTGGTAATGACTTGTTAGACATAACATGTCAAGGTGTGGTGCATAAAAGAAAAATGGGTGAATCATACTCTGTGAAAATTAAAAAAACTTCTGCCTTATGACTACAATATTAAGAAAATGAACTCACAAGGTACAGACTGGGCGAAAACATTTACAAGTCACAAAAATGATTAAGGACTTGTATCCAGAATCTGTAAAGAACTTTTAAAATTCAACAATAAGAAAACAAAGTGTGTTTAAAATCTGAACAGGTACTTCATTGAAGAAAATATACAGATGGCAAATAAAATCACAGTGGGAGAGCCAAGTTTGATGGCACATACCTGTATTCCCAGAGCATGGAGGGCTGAGGCCAAAGGGTCACGAAGACCAGACCTAAGTAGCATAGCAGGACACTGCCTCAAGAAGGGAAAAGAAAAAAATCACAATAATATACTGCAAAATGCCTATTAAATGGATAAAAATAATTTTTTAAAAAGTACTATAATTGGTGGCATGATGTAGAAACATTCATTGCTGGTAAGAACTCAAAGTGGTATGGCTAGTGTGCAATTCTGGGTAAAAAGTAGTTGACTGCAAAGGAGATACACAGGAAAACTTTGAGGGTGGAGGCATGATTACATATGGTATTATGTGTTCTGTATGATGCTATGTATGCATTTCTGAAAAGACTGAAGCTGTATATCACACAGAGAATTTGGAAATAGGCAGTTTGGGGAATTGCACCTAAGGCCTTGCACATGGTAGGCAAACAGTTTACCACTGAGCTAGCTACATGGCACTGCATCCTCATTCCCAATGTTTTTTGAGATAGAGTCTCCCTAAGTTGTCCAGACTGGCCTCAATTGCTGATCCTGACTCAGCCTCCTGAATAGGTACACACCTGCATTTACAGGTGCATTTACAGGCATGTACCAACACACCCAACTACAAAAACAAAATTTTAATATGTGAACTAAAGATGCACACACATACATGACAGTCCAGATAATAGCGGTTCCCAGGATGGAATGCAGCCTGTGACCAGTGAATCTAATTGTATTACAAATGTGTGGCCTAACCACATGATGGGGAGGGGTGTTGTATTAGGGTTCTTTAGAGGTACAGAGACTACATATATAAACTGTAAAGAGTAGATTTATTAGATTGGCTTATACAATCAGTAGTTGTGTGGCCCCATAATGCCTGGCTACTAGTTTGGTCTAAGAAACCAGAAGCCTCAGAATAACAGAGCTTAATGATGCATCCCCAATCGAGACTTGGAGGCCTAGAAGCCCCTCGCAGAGTGGCTTGTGTAAGTCTGCATTCAAAGGTTGAAGAATCTGGAGTGTGATGTCCATGATCAATGGCATCAGCAAAGAAAATGCACCTGCTTAAGATTTGAGCTTGAGGGCTGGGGATTTAGCTCAGCGGCAAAAGCGCCCGCCTTACAAGCAGGCAGTCGTGAGTTCGATCCCTGGTACCGATAAAAAAAGAAAAAGACAAAAAAAAAATAATATATATATGTATATATATATATATGTGTGTGTATATATATATATATATATATATATACATATATATATATATTAAGATTTGAGCTTGTGTTCACTTAGAAATTTTCATTGTTTTTTGTTGCATTTGAACCTCATCATTTTTGATGGTACTGCCCACATTCTGGAAGGTTTTCCCCACTTCAGTTTGCTGACTTTATGACAAGTGGAAATGCTGTCACAGTCACATTAAGAGATGTGCCTTTCCAGTTTTCTGTACATCTCTCAGTCCAGTCTAGTCCAGTCAGTAGCCTAGATTAACAAGGAAAAAAACCTTTCTTACATAATTTGGAAAATGGTGTTTCAATTAGAAATTATAAGCCAAATGTAAAAGAAATATAAATTTGTATTTTAATTGATAAATTTGTTTTTCACAGGTATACAGGTTAATTTGATTTACCTATATATTGGGGTCAAACAAATAAATAAATGGGTACTGAAAAGTAGGGACCAAGTATCTCTGTTAGGAAAATTAATAGACACACAAAGAAAATAAGAATGAACTCTGGTACTGAATTTGAGTCAAACATCAATATGAATTCATGTTTAGCTTGTTGGATGGATGGTACAAAAATAATTTTGTGTTTGCATGTGCTTGTGCATGCTTATGTATATACAGGTGAGTGTACATGCATATATCACTAAACCCTGACCATTGAGCAAATGGAGGAGCACTAATACCTCAGTAGCAACAACCAGTTCCCAGACTATGGCTTAGTGGTACCAGAAATGAGGAAATAGTAAACAAAGGTTGGGTTATGTCAGAGGCACACATGCACCAACCTAAAAGAACTGTTATATTTCTAATTGATGATTTAAAAGATGTTTTTAATAATTTCTTTGTTGTGTTTTAACTTTTTGACTATTTACATTTTCTTTATGAAGCACTTGATCATTTTTCTATAGCTGTACTAGTGGTTTTTCACTGATATGTAAGACCTGTTTAAATATGAAGTACATGAATCTATTACCATGTCTCTTATCCTGGTGTTTCTAGATATGGTAGAGATTTTTTTCGTATATGAATTTAGTTACTGTTCCATGCTTCTAAGTTCTGTGAATTAATGTTTGATTATCCCCGAAAGAGGCAAAAGGGTTGCTAATGAAATAGCTGTTTATAATAAATGTTCTAAATAAAATCTATTTTCTCCTGATTGTCTTAGATTCAACTTCTGTTGCAACAGAATACTCCCTGAAATTTGATGAATCCATGACAGAAGATGAAATAGAAGAAAAATCATTTCGATCTTTACTACCTTCTGAGAGTCATCGTAGGTTTAACATGGAAAAGAAAAGAGGCCATCATGATGACTCTGATGAAGAACCTTCCCCAGACAAGACTACCCTGTCTTCTACCAAGGTGTGTTTCAGTTTGTCTCAGTCGATTTATTGTCAAAGATATGAGGATACATTTATGTTGCCAGTTACCAGAATGATTTTTCTAAGTTTGTTAGTTTTATATTTTTCTCTTTGAAATCTGGCCTCAATTCAAATTATTCCTTAAAATGAAATAAGGACTTTCAGGATCTGAGCCAATGTTATCTCAATACATTGTAACGTGCTTCACTTTTTTAACACTTGATTCTATTTAAAAGTTTATATTCACTCTTCTTTCCAAATTGTATGCCTTTTGGATAACAGGGACAAATTCATACCCAAGTTTGTATCCCTGGACAGTTCATAGCTTGCAGTGGTTGTTGAGTAAATTAGCAGATGAACATTAATGCCTCTCATGTGCCCCTTGAGTGTTCTCTTATGTCATTGGCAGGTCTTATATTTTGTTTTTTTGTTTATTTTTGAGATGGCATCTTATCCCGTTCCTCAGGTTAGTCTAAATTTTGCTCTCAAATGATGCTTTTGCCTCAGTCTCCCAGGAAGCTGGGAGTAAAAAGCTTCTTACAATGGTGTGATACCACGCTTGGCTTCATAATTTTTTCTGTGAGTACGTATCTTTTTAATGAAGTTTAGTACCAAAAGGTGACATACTTGATATAAACTTTAGGAACTGAGCCTGCCATTCTCAGGAGAACAAGACAGCTTTTCTAAATTTACCATGGAGATGGTTCGCCAGTATATGAAAGAAGAGGAAATGAGAGCAGCTCACCAATCTTCACTTTTACGTCTCCGTGAAAAGGCCCTGAAGGAAAAAACTAAGGCTGAATTAGCTTGGCTGGAGCATCAAAAAAAGTAAGTTCGTTCAGTGAGTGTCGTTTTCCCTGTCATTTGTTTCAGAAAAGGAAATGCTTTATGTTGAAAAATACTTTTGTTTCCTCTTTTTTTTTTGTCCTGGTGTTGCCGAGGATTGAACCTTAAGCCTTGTGTGTGCTAATTAAATTTGATTTGATCAGCCTAGTTTCTCCTCATTAAATTTTGTCTGATCATCCCAGATACTCAAGCCAGGAATATGACAATAATCTTTGGGTTACTTTCAAGACTTTCTGACCCACATAAAATTTTCATTTCATTTCTCTTTTTATCATTCTGACTCTTACCTTATGTTGCTGTTTTAAATTTAATCTTTTTTCAGTGTTACCTCACTTAAGTCTTTCAGTCTTTCAATTATATAATCTAGGGCTTGCACACATTATATATACTTAGTAAAATACTTTCTTAGAGAAATTGCACATAGCAACCATTTTTGATGTGAAAATGTTAAATTATTTTATAGACTATTCAGTAAAGAAGTCTTGAAATTATAAATCTAATCATCTTTGTCTCAATGAAAAATATTTGCAGACATCTACGAGACAAAGGAGAGGATGATAAAATGCCTCCACTCCGGAAGAAACAGCGTGGTTTGCTTTTAAAATTGCAGCAAGAAAAGGTATGTTAGGAAAGGGACCCTTATGAGACAGCTTATTTTAAGGCAGTTTAGTATGTGGAAACTATTTGTCTGCCTAATCTTTTTTTTCTTATTATGGCCTTAAATGATACTCAGTTGATGCTCACACTGTGTATGCCTATGGGGCTACAATTATAGGGTTATTTGTTGGTAGCCTACCATATTTCTCTTATATTAGAATTGTGTCATTGCAAACTTAATATATAATCTAGTTTTCTGCCTTTGTGTAATACATAGTCTTGAAATATATATTTAAAATCAAGATGTGTATAAAAGAGTATTTGGATTAACTTTAATCATTGTTTCTCTAGATTTTCATGACATGCTAATTACATACTGACAGATGTTTTTGCTTAGGGAACTTAGAAACTAACTGTAGTTTTGAATTCTGGAGAGGCAATAATATGGTAATAGTAGTATGGTGGTTAAGAATTAGGACTCTGGAGTCAGATTGCTTACGCTGGTGGTGGTGGATTTATGACACATGTGTCATAGCAGATTGTGTCATTGAAACCTCTAAAAGATTCACTAACACTGCCCTGTGCTCACATCCCAACTCTTTAAGTTGCATAATTTTGAGCAAGTTACTTAATTTCTGTGTGTCTCACTTCTTCATCTGTAAACTGAGAACAATAATAGTAACCTACTTATAAATCCTTATAATCCTATAAGGATTATTGGGAAGCATAAGTGAGTTAAAACTAAAATAAGCTTAGAATAGAATTTGACATAATAGTAAATGCTCAGTATTAATTGATACTGTTTAAAATATAGCTTTATCATTTGCAACTATGTAATCATGGTCAAATTTAAGTAACTCTCTGAGACTTCATTTCCTAATCTGTAGGGATAATATTTTATATGGTGATTGTGAGGATTAAATGAGGTAACATATGTAAAGTGTGTTTCAAATTACCTGGTGAGTATTCAGTAGATTCTAGTTTTCTTTCCCTAATTGATCTCTTCTCAGGACTACCTGCTGTGTTAAATGATTTATGAAGTTATTTGAGTTATTGAGATTATTAGCTTTTTAAAATGAATTTACCCCATTTATAATATCACATATAAATTTGAAATTCTGAACTTTATTTTTTAAAAATAAATTTCATTTTTAATCTAAAATTTTTTTAAATGAGGTATTAATTATAATTAGTAAATAAATTTTTACAATATTGTATTAGCTTTCTATTTGTAAAACAGAAATAAAATTTGTATTTTCTCCCATTCTGCAGTATTTCTTTTCATTTTCTTAATAATACTTTTAAAATACAACGTTTTATAATTTGCTGTATGTAGTATTTCCCTGCATGCTATTATAATACATTTTTTTCATTTTTTGTTTGAAAATGTATTTGTTTCATCATTTTTAAAGGGTATTTTAATAGAATATAGAATTATTTTCTTGAAACATTTTTAAAATTACCAGTTTATTGCTTTGCATTGCTTTTGTGGGCAGAATTGTCTTAATGTTCTTTTTGTAAGTTTATTTAAAATAAAAATTTTTTATTTGGATTTATTTGGAGATGGGAAACAGTTATGATTAAACACAGGGCCTTGACAGTGCTCAATATCATGAGCCCTTAAAAGTTTTTCTGTTTTGAGACAGGATTTTGCTAAGTTTCCCAGACTCAACTTTTGCTCTCCTTGCCTCAGCTTCCCTGAGTGCTGGGATTATAGGTATATATGACCACACACAGCTGTTTTTGATTTTTTAAAAAATAGTTTTAACATGAGGTATCTAGATATGGTTTCGTTACTCCTATTCAAAGTTTTATGAGCTTCTTAAATCTGTTATTTCCGTTTTCAGTTATTCAAAACTTGCTTTATGTTTTCCTTCTGCACCATCCTTTCTCTCCTTTCCTTTGAGGACTATTATTAGGCTTAAATTAAATTTGTGACCATTTACCATATATATTTTTGGTGTTTTGTTTTCATTCTTGAAACAAATACATTCTGTTTCATTTTAGAGAGTTTTTATTCACTTACTTAAATTCTTTAATATGTCTTCTGCTTTGTCTAGTGTATAGTTAAGACAATTCAGTGATTTCCCAGTTTGATAACTTTTTAATTCTGTAATATCCATCTTGTTTTATAGAGATTACACTTTTTATTGAAATTCTTTGCCTTTTCATCCATTTTTCTATTTTTTCCTATAGTTTTGGACCACACTATTCATGGCCATTTTTGTCTGCTAACTCCAATTTTTTTTAATCATATCATTCGTTGCATGACTAGTAGTTTTTTATTAAAGCTGAAACTACTGAACCCTGAGTTGAATTGAGATTGGGTTACAGCATTGCTAAGGCTCAGTCTACTCCTGTTTTGCCATGTTGTGTTGGATTGTGGCCCTCTAGGGATTTAACTTAAAATCCCCTAGCCCTTTTTTAATCAGGACAAAAGAGTTGGGATTTCTGCTCTGCTTTTGAGAGATTTCTAGATTAGTTCCTTAGCCTTCTGCCTTTGCTGCTTCAGAACTTGATAGATGCTCAGAAGAAAGTGAGCATTAAGTTCCCATTGTTATCATCCCAACTCTGTGTGGCTGGTGCGAGTGTTACTGGTATAACTACTTTGAAAGCAGTTTACTGTCCCTACTTGAGGATAGGGAGAATATATAGCTCAGCAGTTCTCTCTTGTTGCTCACTCTAGAAGACTTTCACACACCTGTAGGAGAAAATGGAAATAATGTGTTCAGTAGGAACAGAGTTGTGTAATTCACTTTCCTGTCAGCAGAACAAAATAACCAGCACCTACAATTTAAAGTAGAGGTTTATTTTGGCTCACAGCTTCAGTGGGTTCAGCCAGTGGCCATCAGAAACAGTGTGATAAAAAGCAGAAACAGTGTGATAAAAGAACATGACAGAGAAAAGTTGCTCACACTATGGCCACCAAGAAGGAGAAAGAAAGAGAAGGGAGAGGGCAGGGACAAGAATATACTTAAGTGACCCACCTCTAGCCAGCTGCCCCCTAACAGCACATTTAGCCTTGAACTCACAGTGGATTAAACCAGCATAGTATAGTGAACCCATGATCCAGTCATCTTCTAAAAGCTCTACTTCTGAGTACACAAAACTGTACCCGTACAGTAGCTGCTATCCACATGTAACTGGTGGCTACGTATTGGACAGTGTAGCATTAAATCCAATTTTTATAGAAAAGCAATATTTAAAAATATATATAGTAGGCCAGGGATATAGCTCAGCAGCACAAGTGCCTGCCTAGCAAGTGCAAAGTTGTAAGTTTGATCCCTGGTACCAAAAAAAAAAAAAAAAAAAGATATATAATAGTACACCACTAATGTAAAGTTTTCAAAGAAATCAATTAGTAGATGTCCTGTGAAATCACACAAAACTATATATCAGAACTATAAAAGATAACAGGAATAACAGAACTACACTTCTGGAGAAGAAATTCAAGATCTGTAATGGTTTTTGAAACAAGAGATTTAAAATAAATAGGGCATACTGATAAATATGTTTAATCCCAATGGTGTTTGAGTGGCTCATTTTCTTCTTTGCAATTTTTCAGACTTTTAAAAAGTAAATATGCAAAAAAAATAGCCTGATCCAAATGTCTACCCTTGGGCTAGAGATATAGCTCAGCAGTACAACCCCTGCCTCTCAAACACAAGATCATGAGTTTGATTCCCAGTAACAAAACAAAACAAAACATGACTAACCTTGAAAATTGCATTATAGAAATAAAATACCAGAGCTTAAGAATATATACTCTGAGATGTCTATACGTAATTTGGTACGACTATGCAAAAGGAGAAGCTCCTTTTTTTTTTCCTCCTTTGAACTAACATTCACATAACATTGCAAAACCATTTTAATAAAGTTAACAATTAGCTTGTACAATTCACTTATTCTTAGGGAGATAAAAATCACCTGAGATAAATCAATGTAATAAAATCATAGGTTTACTTTGGCTTACAGTGTCAGAGAGTGCAGTCCATGTTGATTTTGAGCTCTGCGGAGGCTAAGTATGTCTTGGCAGGATCACAAGGAGAGGAGAGCTGCCCTTGTCAAGGGAGCTAGGAGGTGGAGAGAGAGACATGAAGAACTGAGGTCCAGTTATGCTTTTCAAGAACACATACCCCCAATTACCTAACTTCCCCACCTCTTAAAAATCTGCCACCATGCAGTAACACTCAAGCTAGTGAGCAAGTCTTTTAACACATGAGTCTTTGAGGAACACACCACAGCAGGAAACAAGCACACCCTAACCCCCTAGAATTCCTTTTAAAAAATCTCATCTTATGAATTCATATTGGATAAATTTATACATTGATTGCTTCAGAAACTCAGGTATAAGCTAGTGGAAATTTCAAAATGGGCTGTGTGAAACTCTGGGTGTCCTTGAGACCCTTTCACAGATTTAGAAGATTAAAACTTTTTGTAATGATTTTGAGAATGGCTGAGGGTTTAGCTCACTGAGCCTTTGTCTAGCATGCCTGAGGCTCTTGGTTTGATTTCTAGCACCAGGAAGAAAAACTCTGGAATATGAATTTTCCCTTTCACTGTGTCAACATTTATGTTAAGTGACAGAAAAACAATGCTGACTAAAACTACTGGCTTAGCATAAATTGGGAGCACCAGATTGTGTTGATAATTATCATATTCTTCACTTCCACATAGTTGCAGTTTAAAAAAGCAAGCTTTGCTTAATAATGTCTTAACTAGATAGTAAAACTTCTTAAGTTTATGATTTGACCTTTTCTTGTGTTCTGTGACAACAATAGGAAACCTAAAATTAAGCACATTTGCTGGGTATCAGAGTAACTCAAAGTGATTAAGTCAAGGAAAAGTATTTGTGCAACTGTTTGAATTGCGGGCTGAATTAGCTACTTTTTTTCATGGAATATCATGTTTACTTGAAAGAGTGACTCACAGGCATTTATTAAGATTTGGTTATTTGACCACTAGTTTCTCAGAAATAAACAATGTGCCTGTTACTTCAAGGAAAACAACCAATGATGTTTGTTGCCAGGGATAAAATTCAAGCTTTCAAGCAAAAGTCAGAACTTAAAAGATTATATCTGCCAAATCTGCTATGTAATTTTTCTTTTGAAGTTAATGGTTATATTAATTAGTGTAATTTTTTAGTATAGTATAATGAAATGTATTAATATTTTGAAAAATCTGAAGAATACAGTGAACCAATGTTTTGCAGTTGACCAGTGCATGATTTTAAGAAAAAAGTCAAGCCAGCCAATAAGGTAGTTTGCAAAAATCTAAACATGTTTTTTACAAATTTCTTCTGTTTTAGAAAATCTAGTTATTGGGGCTGGGGATTTAGCTCAGCGGCATAAGCGCCTTCCTTGCAAGCAGGCGTCGTGAGTTCAATCCCTGGTACTGATAAAAAGGAAAAAGACAAAAAAAAAAAAAAAAAATTACACAGCTGATGCATACTTATGAGAGAATGTGATGGAAAAGACCAAGTAATGTCTGAATTAAGATGAGTTCAACCCATAAGAGTTCCCTGAAAAGGCCTCAGGGAAACCCTGTAGCTCACATTTTAAAGAGTATCTGCTGGGGGCTAGAGGTTTAGCTTAGCGGCATAAACGCCTGCCTTGCAAGCAGGCAGTCGTGAGTTTGATCCCCGGTACCGATAAAAAGGAAAAAGACCAAAAAAAAAAAAAAAAAAAAAAAACCAAAAAGGAGTATCTGCTCCACAGAATTTGATCTTGTTGCCAAAAAACTAAAAGTATAATATTATTATACGCTTATTTGTAATAGTAAAAAGAAAAAACAATAAAAACCCTTAAAAATCTAATAGTGTGATTAATGGAAAAGTAAAATGTATATTCCTCCAGTGCAATTTTACGTAGTATTAGAGAATGTAAATTAACATGGAGAGATAGCAAAAGCAATATGTGGACTGAGGGTTCAGCTCAATCGAAGAGCACTGTTTTCAAATGGACAAAACCCTTGGTTTAATCCTCAGCACCAAAAAAAAAGAGACTATATCTAGTAAATAAAGTCATACTCAAAATGTATACATATATTGCTTACAAACTATTTTAAATGTACAACCCAAACAGTACATTCCTTTGCAGTACAAATATCTGTGGAAGAATTTAAAAAGAAAAAAATGTACATTTCTTAACATTCCATAACAGTTATTTCCAAGGAGTAAGAGCACAGTATTGTAGACTAGTTTTTTCTGCAGTGTCTTGTTTCTTTATTCATTACAAATTTGTAATGTTTCTTTATTAATTTAAAACTAGGAGAAAATGTGACAGTACTAATAATTGTTAATTTGCAGTTTTATAATGTGAATATTACCTACTTTGCTGCATTTTCTGATAGTTTCAAAAAAGTCTCTCAATTTAATGCAAAGTAAAAATTTTTAATGTTATGCTTACTTTATTGATAGAGATTTATGAGATGTGATCAAACTATATGGTAAATGTTTACATTTAACAAATTTGTTATAGTAAAAGACACCTTCCCATTAATGCTCCTTGCTCTGAATACACTTACATCATCACACTTGCTCTTTTCTGAAGCAGTTGTAGAAGTTCTCTTCTTTGAGAGTATTTCCTAGGTGTGATAAAAAAATATGGTGAATGCTGCTACCAATTGCTATCCAAAGGAGAGGAGGGAGGCTCATAAAAATGCTGTGGTTCTTTCTGACATTGTGCAACTTTTGGTTCTTTCCAAAAGTTAAAATGACCATGAAAGGTAACCATTTTATCAATTCAGGGCATTAAGGCAACCAGCCACAACAGAGGAGCTAAACACAGTTATGAAAGAGAACTTGTAGAGAGTTGTTTCAAACAGTAGCAAGAACAATGGGATAAGGGTGTTCCAGGCTTGGGATGGGCATGGGGTATTTTGAAGGGAATTGATGGCAATGTGTTCTTTTACTGTAATAAATTTTTTAAAAGTCTGAATAAAAGTCTTAAATTTTTTAAACAATTGTTGACTGTGAAATGTATCATCTTTTACCCAATTACTTAGTACCCAAAAATGTGTGGAAAGATATTGGTGCACTATAGTCTTAAATGTGTCTGTTAACATTGTTGAGTGGGGGAAAATCCTTTTTTGAAAGCAGTTTTTTTGGGGGCAGGATTGAACCCAGCACCTCTCACATGCTAGGTAGATAAGTTGTTTACCACTGAGCTATATATGCAGCCCTTTTTATTTTTTATTTTGTGATAGGGTCTCCAGGCTAGACTTGAAGCTGCAGTCCTGTTGCCTCATCCTCTAGTCTGTGTGCCCTCATGCGTGGCCTCACAGATTTTGGAGGAGGGTGGTGTTAGGAATCAAACTTAGGACCTCGCACTTGCCAGGCAAGCACTGTGCTACTGAGCTATATCTCCAGCCCTTAACCTCACAGTTTTGAATCTTTCAAGGGCCATAAGATGATTTCTCTTCCTTTACTTGTTTGTTCTACTTTTTTTAACCTCTCTTACATACTGTTGCATAGTATGAAATACTTACAGATACGAAATCATTATTTCAAATAGTTAAAAATTATAAGGGTCTAAGAGTTTAGCTAGCATTACATTAATAAGCTTACTTGATACTCAGCTTTAAAAAATGTAAAGACCAGGTAGCATTGTGGAAAATGTGGATAATATATGTTAAGTCTAAAAAGGACCATAAAATTATTAGTGTGTTTTAATTATAAATTTTTTAAATTCAGGGATTATATTAAATAATTTTAGAGTAATGGGGTTATGTCTGACTTTCCCTCACTAAATTCAAGTTTTTTTAGTGCTATTATATTTATATATTTGTAATGTGTATTTATTGGATTTTTCTTTTGAAAATAATACTTTGGACTTACGCTTCAAATCTCAGTCCTTTTCCTAACTCTTCAAACCTTAGGCAGAAATAAAACGTCTTCAGGAAGCCAATAAGGCAGCTCGGAAAGAAAGACAACTGATCCTTAAGCAACAGGAGGAGATAGAAAGGATCCGACAGACCACTATAAAGTTGCAAGAGAAGCTAAAGTCTGCAGGGGAGAATAAATTGGTAAATTACATGGAGTTATTAGTTTATTTTCTGTTGCATGTAGCTTGTTAATATCCTACCTCATTTTCTAATATAACTATGTATATTCAAACAGTGTGATTAATAATGAAGTAGTATAAAGTTCTTTTGTTTGTTTGTTTTGAGACAGAATCTCACTATGCAATTCAGGCTGACATTGAACTCACTGTATAGCCAAGGCTGGCCTCAAACTCATAGCAATCTTCCTGCCTCAGGCTCCCAAGTACTGGGATTAACACATATACACCATGCCTGGCAGTAGGTTAAAGTTTTGTATATGTGCCTTTTTCTGTACTGTACTGAGAATTCTCCATCCCTTTCCACAGAAGGGGGCTGGGGATTTAGCTTAGCGGCATAAGTGCCTGCCTTATAAGCAGGCAGTCATGAGTTCGATCCCTGGTACCGATAAAAATGAAAAAGAAAAAAAAAGAAAAGAAAAGGGTACATGATACATGTATTATTTTAAAATATTTTCTACTCATGAACTAAATTGGAACCAAAAGCTTTGATCTTGCTTAACAGTCCAAATATATTCAGAATTAATGGTAGTGATTGTTTTCCTCTTTTATATGATGTTTGTTTCTGCTACCTAGTTTTAATATTAGAATAGGACTCAAAAGGAGATATTTTCACAAGAACAAAATTTGTATCTATTCTAAGGTACTGTGAAGTGTCCATGGAGTGGTATAAAACCCAAAAGTACATACTATAATTTTTTATAATTTTTAAAGTCACTATTCTCTACTCTGAAACAACCTCAAACTTAAAGGAAAATTTCCAACACAGTGCAAGTAATTCATTTTCCTGAGTCATACTACAGTAAGTAGCCAAATTAACATGGACACATTATTATATGGAGTCTATAGACTCTTTTTACATCTCCGTTTGTCAGAATAGTGTTCCTTATAGCAAAAGTAACTGCAGAATGACATGTTGCATTTAGTTTCCATGTCTCTTTAGTCTTCTTCAATATGGAAAAATTCTTTGGTTCTCATCACTTTGACATGTTGAAAGATTATATGACAATTTTGTAGAATGTTCATTTCTCACTTTCTTTTTCTGTCTGTCTTTCTTTCTTTCTTTCTTTCTTTCAAGACACGATCTTGCTATTTGTTTCAGGCTGATCCTGAACTCACTGTGTAGCCCAGGCTGGCCTCCACTTACAGCAATCCTCCTGCCTCAGTTTCCTGAGTGTAGAAATTACAGGTGTGTGTCATCACACCTGGATAGAATATTTGTTTCTTAACTAAGTTTTGTCTGATGTTTTATCACGATTAAATTCATGTTGTGTATCTGTGGAAGGAATATAACAGAATTGATGCTGTATGTTCTTGCAGTCTATCAGGTGGCACATGATATTGATTAATCCCATTGATAGTGTCACCTTGATCACTTGATTAAGGTAGTATCTGCCAGACTTCACTGTAAAGTTACTATCTTTTCCTTTATAATTGTTTTGCAGGAAAACTATATAAATGAAATATATATTTATTTATAATATATAAAAATATATAAATTATACATTATAAATATATATTGTAATATATAGAATATATAATTTGTGATTTTATCTACTCATAAATTCCTGTTGTACTCACACATAATCTGTTGCAATCATTGTGTGTTTGATGTTCAATTTGTTGCAAATTGGATCTTTAAGAACTTCTTCACAGCTGAATATAGTGGCGCCATGTATAATCCCCATATTTTGGGAGGCGGGGACAGCAGAATCACAAGTAAAAGGATGGGGGCAAAGTGGGTGGGGATGTCGCTCATGGCAAAATTCCTGAATTCAACTCAAGTACAGAAAATAATAAAAAGTAGCTCTCCTTTATACAGATTTCTGTGTTTGGTACAGCCCATCAGTCTTGAGAACTTTCTTGGTGTTTTGTTTTGTTTTGGTACTGGGAATCAAACTCATGATCTTGTGCTCGTCAGGCAGGTGCCTATACCATTGAGCTAAATCCCTGGCCCCTCTTGTTTTTTGATATATTTCAAGTTCATTTAAAACTTCTTTTGGCCTAGCCTTAGAAGTTGGTATTTCGAGGAGGCTTATTGAAACACTGAAATGTGGCATTGGGTATGTTCATTGCTTTCAGGTATTGCTTCTCCTAGTCAACAAAATCTAGGAAATATATTAATATATGTAGATGTAGATAAGCACACATATTTTATGTCTTGACTTATGTATGTGTAAAATCAAGTTCATTACTTTCAATTCCAATCCAGCATCATAATGTTCACTCTAGTTTTTTCTATTTTGGAACTCACCTGTCTGACAGATAATTGTTAACGTTTTCCTTAGTATAGTTAATAGTTTTATTATTCCTCCTATATAACCTTTTTTTGGGGGGGTCAAGGTTTCATGTCAGGCTGGCCTTGAACTTGCTATTTAGCCTAGGCTGACCCTGAACTCTCAGCGACCTTCCTTTGTCAGACTCCTGATTACAGGCATGTACCACCACATCAGGCTTGTAACCCATTTTTAATAACCACTGATCCCCTTCCCTATGCGTATATTCTTCTTTCCCTTTTTTGGGTTATGGCTCACTAAGTTGGACTGCTCTTCATACCCTTCTTTGGTCTTCTCTATACCTTCCTTTCTCTTTTGGGTTCTGACACCTATGCTAGAAAGTTCCTTGTGTGAAGGCCTTCCTCACTGTGTTTGTGCTTGTGGCTTTATGTGCTAGCCTACTGTCCCATGAATTTCCTCACTGCTCTACTTGGGCTCTGATTCTCCACATAGCCACTCTCCTTCATTAGATGGTATCTTCATCCTGCTCAGATTCTGACACCCCATTGTTGGCCCGTCCCACCCCCCCACCCTGATGTACACCTCCCTTGTTCTGCTCCATCAAATGATCTTTGAATTGAGTTGTTTGAGAAAGGGAGTAGAAAGAAGGGCTCTGCTTTGTCTACATTTTTCACAAAATTAAAGCAGTCAAGATTAGTCCTATTGTCTTCCTGAAAATTTAAGAGTATACAATTTTTATATGAAAGATACTCTAAGCAATTCAGGTTTTACTTTTTGTTATCTGAAGTAATATATTGATTAAACCAGTAGTTCCTAAATGTTGCAATATGAACTTTCTTTAATTTGTGAAAATACTGCTTTTCGTAATGAGTATTTAATGGAAAAATCTATTCCCCAGGATGTTTAAGCAGTCTTATTTTCTGTTCATTCTTTGTGCCATAATGTATGTTTTAAGTAGTGTGTCTCATTTTAAATTCCTTTTGAATGAGTCAGCTTTAAAAAATCAGAGGACATGTAGATACTAGATTATTACTGATAGAAGGTTTTTGGGTTTCTTTACCTCCTTTTGTTGTTGTTGTTTTCTTTTCTTTTCTTTTTGGTTTTCTGTGAACTGGTCTCACTGTGTAGTTCAGGCTGACCTTGAACTCACTATGTAACCCACGCTGGCCTCAAACTCATGGTGATCCTCCTGCCTCACTCTCTTGGAGTGCTGGGATTATATACTTCGATCACCATTCCCAACTTGATTTTGGATTTTTTCTGGAGTTGGAATTTCTTTCCTGCTCCGTCCCTCCCTTCCTCCCTCTCTCCCTCCTTCTCCTTCTTCTCTCTCCTCTCCTCTCCTCTCCTCTCCTCTCCTCTCCTCTATTAAAAGCAAACCAATCAACCAACTTCTGATAAAAACGTACATAGCAAAGATGTAACCATTTTTAGGTATGATATTTTTGTCCTTTACAAAATATCTGAATTTCAGTTATTATTACAAACATTTGATTTGAGTTTAAACTTAATTCTGAATTGACAGTGTTTAAAATCTCTTCAGGGTCCTTATAAAGCCCAGTAAAATTTTGCTTTTTGTTTTCAGGAATCTCATACTGATGATGATGATGATACAAAGAATAATAAAGCAACTAGTCCTGGTCCAACTGATTTGGAAACTCGCAGTCCTTCTCCCATTTCAATCTCCAGCAGTGAAACTAGTAGCATCATGCAGAAACTGAAGAAAATGAGAAGCCACATGGATGAAAAGTAATTCATTTTTATAATATCTTGTTTAGTTACATCAAAAGTTGTGGCAATAGATAATATTTTTAATATACTTCGTTAAATTAGATTGACAAAATATTTTATAATTCAGTAGCATTTTAGCAGAATTATGAAGTCAACCGTAGATTTTAATTTAAAAGGTTTTTTTCATTTTAATAAGCTTTCTTATTAAAAAACTAAAATAGTATTTGCAAGTGTACCTATGACAACATTTCTCCTTTCGAAAGGCTATGTCTACCAACTTCAGGAGTTACTAATGATATATTTAGTTGGCATCTCATCTTTCTGCTCTTTCACAGATCTCAGCCATTTTCCAACAGAAGAGTAAAACTTCAACCTTGTGAGTAGGTGTGAGTTGCTTAGCTGACCGCAGAAAGGCTAAAGTCCTCCTGGGTGTTGAATGATTTGGCACTCTAATATTCTTCTAAAATACTTCATGAATTTTTTTTAAGAGTAGGAAGAATTCATTGTAAGGAAGAAAAGCTTCTGTGTAAGAGAAAAGAAGCTTTTCCTACTTAGATGTAGTATAGTTGCACATAATCTTTGACCATATTTGATGACAGTTATGTGGTAATTTACTTTTTTGATGTATTTAATTATATATGGTTATAAATTAGCTTCTTGTAGACCTAACCCTAACCACTAGCCCTAATCCTAAGCATTTTATTTTTCATTAAGCTTCTTTATTTTTAGTATCACCATGGAATAATAAGAAAATAAGAACACAAATATGAGTCTTTGACTCTGTAAGCTCTACCTCATACGTTGGTTTCTTGAAGTCCACTATCTGAACTTTTTATTGACTGCCATTTTAGGTTAGCAGTGTGAACCACACAGGAAACTTAGATATTATCACATTATCAAATGTACAGTGTATCACACATTACCAAATTTAATAATGTTTTGCATTTATCTATAATGTTAACCTATAACTTAATTAAATGGTTAAACATTTATAGGTGAAATCCTTATTTCCTGTAAGCCCAGTTATACATTGGTATTTCATTGCAAAAGAAAACATTTCATAAGAATAATTCATTGATGATGAAAATAAGTTCTTTAAAATGGATAAATTTTTAAGATTAATATACAGGTAGGTGAAAAACAAATGTTAACAAATACATGAATATTCCTTTTTAATGAGTTCAATGTAATAGGCTAAGTTAAGTTTCTTAAAATAAAATTGATTGACATTTAGGTTAAACATGCCTTCTTTCTTTTTCAGTAGCCTACAGAAGCATGCTGTGTAGCTTCCGAGATCTTTAAATTCAAAATTAGAGGAATCTTTCTTGTAAATTTTTAATGCTCATTTACATTATTATCTGTCTGCCATGTCCTTGAATGATAAATGTTAGAGAGAAAACAGTTTCAGAGATGATTTCTTCATTGACCCCTTGATCCTGTATTGCAATAAAAGCTTCATTGTCAGTCTCCCTTAATGATAGTGTAATAATTCAATCATATCTACAGAAGAAATTGCTAATCTTATTCTGTGAGGTCAGTATCTGTGATACTTATTTTACATTTGGTTAAAGCTTTAAAAATCATAAATAATGATTTCAGAGTTGGATTTATTAACTTTTTTCCAAGTTTTCTGAAGTATTTCCATAGATTTCAAAATATTAATCACTTAGAATTTACCTATTATCACTTTGCTGTGTCTTATCAACTTCTGCAGCAGACTTTTAAGAAATTTTTTGAAAATAGGCCACAAAGCATTCAGTGATTTCTTGATCTATTTGAAACAGTACAGTTTTATTTGTTGGAGTGAAGGGGGAAGATGGTAGTGCAAATAAATGGTTGGATAATGGCTGAAATTTGAGGATGAAGTAGAGGTTTGGTTTTTTGTTTTTGTTTTTGTTTTTGTTTGTTTGGTACTGGGGATCGAACTCACGGCTGCGTGCTTGCAAGGCAGGTGCTTATGCCGCTGACCTAAATTCCTGGCCTGAGGTAGAGTATTTTGAAAAACCATAATGAGTTAAAAAGAAAAAATCATTGTTAAGCACTTTTTTTTATCTTTGAAATATAATAATGAGAAAACTAGCTTTTAAATGCTACTTATATTACCAAAACTTTCTAGTCAGATCTCATTCAAAAGATGTTAGAATAGCTGCTCAAGAAATACAGAATTGCCAGGTGTGGTGGTGCATACCTGTAATCCCAGCACTTGGGAGGCTAAGACAGGAGGATTGTTGCAAGTTTGAGATCAGCCTGGGCTACAAAGTGAGCTCAAGGCCAGCTTGAATGGTGTAAGTATTTTCATAGAACTTAACATATGAATCACGTGAAATCTTCTATTACTATTTTGTCATCTCTCATCAGATGGTAAGAGATTTCTTATCTTTTTTGCTTCAAAAAGACAAAAAATACACAGAATTTTGCTTACTTTTATAGTCACTTAGTAGATACTTAGCAGCAAAATTATTTGAAATTTTGCTACTTTGTGACCACGTGATGTATTTTTTGTTCTGTGGATTTGCAAAGCAGTCAGATCTAGTTTGTTGTTATGAAATACCTGTCAAAAAGTATCATCCTTCCAGGCAACTTTTATTACCATTTGAGTAAACATTTTTTAATTATCTATCATTGCTTACTATTGGTTCTCTGGACTGTAATTTTTATGATATATTTTTCTGAAGTGATGACACTTCTTAACTACAATGAAAGATGTCATTTTTAGTGTTTCACTGAGACAATAATGCCTTCTTTAAAATTTGTATTTCTAATAATTAAGGATTTTTTAAAGGAAGACTTCAATGTTCTAGTAAAGATATCTCAGAATGATTTCCCTGACATATTTATTGAATTAATGTTTTACAGATAATTTCTGTTTTTCAATATAGTGAAAAGCAAGAAAAAGTTTTTCATTATTTGTAAGTGGATTGCCTAATACTTACGAGACGGATTTTCTCATAAAACAAAACACTATGAGGGCCAGGGACGTTGCTCAGTGGCACAGCAACTGCCTGGCAAGCACAAGGCCCTGAGTTAGATTCCTGGTACTAAAAAAATAAAAGCCATGAAATTGACTCTTCCTATTATTTGCCAATTCCAATTCAGGAAAAATGTTTACTCAGCAAATGGAACACTGAAATAGTATCTTCAAGCATTGTAGTACTTAAAGCACTGTAGTCTTCTATATTAATAATTATACATTTGGTCCCTCAGCCTTAATTTATTGAGGAATGTGAGACTATGCTAGGTCCTGAGGATTATGAAGACAACACATATCCTGCCCTCAGAGTTTAGTGGGGGGGAGGGATGCAGCATGGTAACATCATTTTAAAAGTGTACATATTAATCTATTGGTAAAGAAATTCAAAAAGGAAGGGAAATTTTCATGAGTGAGTGTTCAAACTTGAATTAGGAAGTGCTAAGACCAAGAATAACAAAAATCATATAATTGTTTTTTTGCTTTCACTATTCATCACAGTCCAAGATAGCATTAGAAAAAAATTAACAAATAGGAACAAAAATCGTAAATATTCCTTTTATACATCCCAGTGTGCTTAGAAAACCACTAAAATGACAAAATTAACTGGCTTTAAATAATTCATCAAAAAGTAGCAAATAAGTATTTTACATTTTTCTGTCTAAAAATACAATTTATCTAATGAATTTTGAAATCTCTACCATTAATCTGCTGAGTGAAAAAATTAAGAATTTTTGAAGGAGGGTGTGATATTCCATTAAAGACTTCTCAATTAGAATTACTTTAAAGTATTAAATATCATTGTTTTAAATTGACAATTGCCTTAGAAAAGGTTCTAGTCAAAGTGTAGTAGGTAAGTAAGTCCTGATAGTATGATAATATATTTCTATTTTCTGTGGTCCTTAGGTCAAAAAGAATGTACTATATTACTTGGCCTAAGAGTATGAAAATTATTAAGTAGTAAAGTATTTTAAGTAATAAAATAGGTTTTGCTAAAGGAAAAAACACTAAACTGAATTTTCTTTTAGGTCAGCACTATCATTATCTGTATCCACTTTTTTTAATATTATTAAAGATTTGAAAGAATCTTCTTTAAAAATGTAAAGTTCTGTGTTCCATTTTTTACTTACAATATAGAATTAAAGAATTAAAAATCCATAAGCATGTATAAAAACATTTAAGGTATTAAATTTTTGTTTGTTTTGTTTAGTATCTTTCAGAAGTGAATGATATTTACTTATTTATTTATTTATTTGGTACCAGAGTTCGAACTCATGACCTCGTGCTCGCCAGGCAGGTGCTTATGCTGCTGAGCTAAATCCCTGGCCTTGAAGTGAATGATTTTAGACCTTGAAGTTTCACTTAAAGTTTAGAGCTGGATGTGAAATCACAGCACTTTTAGAGGCTGACACAAGAGGATAGCAAAGTTCCAAACCAAAGTCCCAAAAAAAGTTGCCCAACTTGGACAACTTGGAATCTTAGCAACTTAGTAAAACCCCGTCTTAAAATAAAAATAAAAACATGAAGGGCTAGGAATGTAGCTCAGTGTGAAGGTCCTGGGTTCAATCCCCAGAACTGAAAAATTAAATAAAATAAATGAATGAATAAATACTAAATAGGTAAAGTTTAGATAATTTCGTTTCTTTATAATATTATTTTATAATCAGTTGGAATACTGTCTCAATTACATTAGCCCAGTGGGAGGAAAAAAGTGGAAGTATTTGTAGCAAGAGTCATAAAATTTCAGAACTAGAAGGTTCTTAGGGAAGTCACTTTGGTTTAATATGAATAAATTTGAAGCCCACAAAGATTACGTAACTTGGGGCTGGGGATTTAGCTCAGTGGCATAAGCACCTGCCTTGCAAGCAGGCAGTCGTAAGTTCAATCCCTGGTACCGATAAAAACGAAAAAGACAAAAAAAAAAAGATTAAGTAACTTGACTCAGGTCATAAGACATAGCAGAATGACAGAGCTAGAATCAATTCTCTCTGAAGGTCAGCCAGCTAAGGTTAAAGTTAGCCTTATCTGCTTTCAACTTCATAAATTTTTGAAAGCTTTAATGATGTTATCATTAATAGAAACTTATCCTTCTAAATAGTATTTGTTAAAATTAGGGAATGCTAAACCATTCATTACCAGAGTCCTATATCAGTGCAGTGTAAATTTATGTAAAAGTGTGACTTTAAAAGCAAATTAATTATTCATTAATTCCCTAAATTGAAACATAAAAATATAATGATTTTCATACTATACTAAATGTATTTCTAATCATAGCCAATTCTCTTACCATCAAAATCCTTATTAGGCAGTGCCTTGACATCAACTATAAACAGTATCAGTATCATTTTCCTTTAGTAAAGGCATTTTCTATTAGTAGACATTTATGTCTCCATCATTCACAAATTTTACTTCTTACCTATGCTGTACCTTAATGGATTATTAACTCAAGTATGAAGCACTGCTTCTTTTATCTCAACTTTTATTCAGCGTTTTAAAAGTGCTATTAGTTCTAGAATGTTACTTATGTTAAATAAGGAAATATGTTTTTGGGAAGGAATTGTAGCTTTATGATTAAGTTAAACTTACACTGTTTCTTATTTTCATTTGCTATCAGTCATTTCTTCTGCTCATTTCTAGACTAGAGCATTTGATAATGCTTAATTTTTATAAATGAAAAGTTAATGTCAGTTCTTATTCTAATAGAGAAAGTTATTGTTCTATACATTGGGCTGGGCAAGAAATTTAACTTACATACTTTTATAGTTTATTTCACATGTTCCAATATTATTTTACTTTTTGTACTAGCTCATGCATGCATGTAGCAGTTATATACTCAAGAGGGTGGGTGATACATGAGTGTTATGAGTAGATTTTTTGAACCTTTTGCCATGTACATTTGTTATTTTATAATATTTTGATAATTAGCATCAAAATAAGTTTATTAAACATTTTTAAAGAATGGCAAGGAAAATTAGTCTTACTAAAATTTGCAAAAATATTTTTCTTTGAGCTTCTGTGCAGAAAAGTCAATCCAGGGGTGTGTGTATGTGTGTGTGTGTGTGTGTGTGTGTGTGTGTGTGTCTGTGTGTGTGCGTGCGCGTGCGCACGCACATACATGTGTAAGTAGATGAAGGAAAGATAAAGTACCAAATGTGAGAAAATGAAGATTAAAATAGTCTGTTATCTAAAGGTATGTGTAGATAAGATTAAACATACTTTTTAAGGTCCAAGTAAGTGGCTGGATTTATACTTAGATTTTCTCACTTCTAGGCATACTGATACTCCTCCTTGCCCTTCCAAGGCAATAAATGGTGCCTTGACGTATGACTTCTTGTGTGCATGTGAACAGGAGCATGCTCTGTCAAAGAATAACCTTTCTGAATTATTACTAGACTGATTTATCCTTTCATACACATATGTAATGGCCATTTGTTACTGCAAAAGAAAAAATTGGACTTTTAAAATGTGTATAGTGCTCACTTTTTCAGCACATGCATTAAAAAAAGTATATAATTTTAACATGTGAAATTTTGTTGCCTTTAACCTTTATAATTGAGCTATCTGTTGTATATTTTTAACGGACAGTGTTCGTTGAGACCAGCTCACTTTATTCTTAATTGTATAACGTGATGATAAAATGGGTATTTATTTCAATAGTATTAATTTAGGTGATTTGTTAGATTTGGACAAGATAACTCCAGTAGATCCTGTTAACAGTTTTATGTTTAGAGGTTAATGAGGTATTTTTCTTTAATTTGTTTTTACTGAATTAATATTTTGAAACTAGATCATGATGGTAAGGTTAGGTAAGGAAAATTGTACTTTTTAAGTTCAAACTTAAAGTACATGACAAGGTACAGATTTAAAAATTAGTTGCTTAGAATTGCACATGTATGTAGAATTGCTGCTAAATGAGGTTCATGGCCATTATTGTGCTCTGTTTTAAAGCTTATTTAAAAATTTACTTAGCCCCACATTGTTCTTCTCATTACCTTACTCAAAGATAAGTAGATTTAACTAAAAATGTATAGAAATACTCTTTTTATACTATACATCGTATAACATTTATTCTGAGTAGTTTATAATGTTGTTAGGAAGCATATTGAAAGTTCTTCACTCAGACCTTAAAACACTTTCCCTTTCTCATTCTTCCTGCCTCTTGATCTCTTGGTTTTTATAATCTTCCTCCTTATTTTGTAGACACTGCTCTCCTGTTCACTACTTCTTCTCTGTCTTTACGTCTCATCACTGGGCCTCTCTCAGTGTCTGTTTTCCCAACCTTCATCCCAAATTCCAGCTGTATATCTACAACCAGTTGGTCAGGTAACTTTGCACCTTTTTCAGTGCACTCTTTGATAGAGCATGCTCTGTTCTTTATGTTTTGTTTGCTTTTTTTCCACTTTTTTTTTTAACAGTGTGGAGGCCTCTTGTCAAATATGTAGATTTTACTATTAATTTGATATGATGATTATTCAAGAAATGAAATGACAGTTCTGCTTGTGCTGTTGATTGATTTTTGGATATGTGAATGCATTTTTGTTGGTTATTTACTGCTATAGATTTAATACCAATAATATGAGTAGCCCATATTTCGTTTAGACATGCCATTTACATTTTAAGAGTTTGTTTGTAGCCTCTGATGTAATCAGATTAGTAATTTCTCAATCTGTTGCACCTAAGATATGCCTGGCTATTTAATTTCAGAAATTGGGTTAAATTGAGAAATTTTAGACATTTAATGCATACTTTCACTCAAGACGTTTGACTGGTGATGTATTCTCAATATGGAAAAATGATTTATCACCTAACGTTGTATCTCTTAGGTAATAGGAACCAAACTGACTAGAACTGAAGCAAAGCCAGAAAAATTTGAAAAGAGATAAAAACGTTTTTGTTTGCTTGCTTGTTTTGAAGCTTTGACATTTGTTTTTGTTGTTGTTTTTGGTCTTCATTGTTTTGGGTTTTGTGTATTTTCTGGTCTGAGCTTTCAGGATAAATGTATCATTTGTTACAAAAAAGAACCACCTATAAAAATGAATTTATGTATTAACATTTTTAGTCATGATTGTCCGTGTGTCCTAGAGATTTTTTAAATTTTCCACTATTTTTCCTAATCTTATGAAACATTATATGTAAAACAAAATTCTCTCATTTTCTGAATAAGTCAACTCATCAAACTTTGTTATTTCATACTTTTTTTTTAGAGAGGAATAGTGTGAATGTTCTGCTTTTGCACAGCTTGTTAAGGTGCTGAGAGAGCTTTCAAAGGGATCTCTGCATATAGATTTCTTCTATAACTGTTCTTTATGGTGTGATCACAGGTTTCTGACAAAGCGAGAACAAAAATTAATGCAACGACGACAACATGCAGAAGAGCTCCTGGAGTGGAAGCGCCGTTTGGATGCAGAAGAAGCTGAAATTCGTCAAATGGAAAAACAAGCTTTAGCTGCCTGGGACAAAGAATTAATAAAATCCAAAACTCCTAAGAAACAATCAGAAGACCAGAGAATAGAACAGAAAGGTAATAAATACTAACCTTTCATATTACAAAATAAGGCCTAACATATTTGGAAGACATTTTATTTCTCTTTACGATGTTAATGATTAAAGATGAAGAAAGCAATACAACTATACATGCTGCCAAACTCAGAAAGATAAAGTATGAGGAATAATTCTTCATCAGTATGAACTTGAAAACTTGGAAGAAATGGGTAAATTTTTTTAGAAAAGACGGCTTACCAACGTTTTGTCAATTGGAAAATGAGACCCTTCTTACTCCTTTGGCTAGTAAAGAAATTGTACCCCAGTAGCTAAGATCTTTTTACAAAGATCTCTTCTGGCTTTAACAATCAATACATACAAGGGGGAAAAAAACCCAGGCATGTAGTTTTTTACTCTTGTTTTGCTCAGTATAGAACTCAGGTCCTCATGCATGCTGAGTAGACTTAACCACTGAGCTGCACTTCAACAAATATGTCTATTTTAAATCAATATGATGACTAATGTTTAGATTTTAATGTAACAAATCATGAGAAGTTTATTAATATAGTTTAAGGATCTATTATAGTTAACATTTAAGAAACCTCCACTTAGCAAGTTTTGGTATACATCAAAAAGAATACACATATATAAATATTCTTAGAAATCTCCCTTTTCTAACTATATATTTGTGGAGGATGGATTTTTCTGCATATGTTTCAACTACAACATATTGCCACTGGTTGAATACAAAAGCATATACAAGCATTCTCTTTTATGGTAGACATTAGCAGTATTTATTAATAAAGTGAAAACTATTCCTCTTGTGTAACTAAGCTTTTATGGAAGAATATATTTATTTAAAAAAACTTTAAATGCTATCCATACAAATATGTAATAGGTTTATTAGTGCTTTCCTGAATAAATTATTTGAAACATTTTTCAGTTTTAATTCTAGTGTGATAAATACTGACACATATATCCATAACTACATAAACTAAAACTCTTTGGAGTCCTCACTAATTTTTTAAAGTATGAAGGGATCCTGAGCCAAAAATTATGAGTACTGTTACTCTAGAGCAGTGGTAGTGAATTGGTGGCATATGTGCCACAGCGAGCCGTGTGTATCATTGAAATCAATAAAAAGTTTATGATCACTGCTTTAGAGCATACCATATTGGTGCATGCATATGGTGCATTTTACAAAGTTTTTACTTTTGTCACTTTTAGTAAATAGGATGTAGAGTCATGCATCAGTTAACAATGAGGATGTGTTGTAAGAAATGTGGTTAGATAATTTTCTTCATTGTATGGACATCATAGAGTGTGTATTCATAACCCTAGATACACAGACCTAGATATTATAATTCAGACATTTGACATGATCTCTTCTCTTGATTATATCAAGTATAAACACAAGCTGTATGAAGCTGCTGCAGGCATAACATAGCATATTGTTTTATGACAGTTTTTAAATAAGCAGAAGGAGTACATTTTAAAATGATAATAAAAAGTATGGTATAGTAAATGCATAAACCACTAATGTCATCTTTGATGATCTTTATAAAATATTGTATACAATACTTAATTGTATGTCCTATGCTTCTGTATACTGTAACTAGCAGCACCATAGGTTTGTCTCCATCCACATTACCACAAACACATAAATAATGAGTTATACTATGACTTTACAACAGCTGTGACATCATTAGGTAATCTGAGATTACTGTTATATATGTCATGTTTGACTGAAATAATACTATGCAGGCATGTCTGTATTTTAAAAATAATGACAAAAATTGGCCAATAATTAACATTTCTTTAAAGGCATCTAAATTTTGCCAGTCTCCTGTTCACATATAAGTGTTAAGTGGTAATTCAGAAATCAGGAATTCAATCAGCTACCACCTCAAAGACTTTGAAAAAGAAAAATGATAAAAAGTGTTGGCAAGGATGTGGAGAAATTAAAAATCTTTGTGCACAGCAGGTTATAGTTTCTCTATAAACAGCTAAAAAAATAAACCCTAAAAAATAGAATTGTTATGGAATCCCAACAGTTCTGTCTCTGAGTATATACTCAAAAGATTTGAAACAGGTTCTCAAAGAGATATTTGTGCAGGCATGTTTATAGCAGCTTTATTGTAGTAGCCAAAACATGAAAGCTACCCAAGTGTACACTGGATATTCAGATATGGCAGATGCATATGATGGAATATTATTCAACCATAGAAAGGAAGGAGAAATTCTGACAATGTTATTACATGAGTGAATCTTGAGGACATTATATTAAATGAAATAAACTAGTTAAGTACCTACAAGTAGTCAGATCTGTAGACAGACAGTAGAAGGATGGTGGCCAGGGACTGGGGATTTGGAGGATGTAGAATTATTAGAGTTTCAGTTTGGGATGATGATAAAATTCTGGAGATGACAGTAGTAATGGTTGCACATAGTATGAATGTACTTAATGCTGCTGAACTACATGCTTTAAAATGATGATGGCAGTTAGTTTTGTGAGTGTTTTACCATGACTTTAAAAAATTAATTTTAAAGCCTGGTATGGTGGTGTATGCCTGTCCTCCCAGTAGGTGAATCCTCCAGTCTGAGGCCAGCCTGGGCTACCAAGTGAGTTCAAAGACAATCTGAACTACATAGCAAGACCCTGTCTTTAAATATATATATATATATATATATATATATATATATATATATATATATATATTTTTTTTTTTTTTTTTTTTTTTTAAGTCAAAAAATAGGGGGAAAGGTGCATAAAGGCACATACTCTAACCAGAGTTGGCCACCACTGGTTTACCTTTGAGATGTATGGAAGTTGAACAGATGGAAGTGGTGAGGGATGAGTATATAAAATAATCACTTTTATCCTTCCATATTGTCTGAAGTTGTTATTTCTAACTTCTGTTCTTCTACAGTACTTTTTACAAAATTTGTTGTTGTTGTATGTTTGTTTGTCTGTTTTGAAACAGGGTCTTGCTACATAGTTCAGGCTGTTCTTAAACATACTATGTAGCCCAGGCTGGCCATGAACTCAGCTGTGATTCTCCTGCCTCAGCCTCCAGAGTACTAGGGTTACAGGAATACACCACCATGCCCGGCTACTACTTTTAAAATTTTTAATCAGGGAAAAAGACAAAAAAAATTTCATCTGTATAAACTTCTGATTGGAGGAGGTAGTGGTTCAGGTGACTTTTTCTCCTTTACAGTGTTTCATATTGTGAAATTTTAAAATGTGTATATGTAACTCAAATACCTACTTTCAGAGTTATAAAGTAGAAATGTAAAGGAATGCATTCTCTTCTACTAAAATTTAGACATTTTCTAAACCATTTTCAGTACTGCCTTTGTATAGATGAGTTATTCTTGATGTTTAGAATTCATTCACTCATTCTGATTATACTACCATATAAAACATTTAGAAATTAGTTTTTAGGTGTAAAGATGTAACTCAATGATAAAATCCTTGCCTGCCATACACAAGGCTCTGAGTTTGATCTGTAGTACTGCCCCAAAAAGAAAGGTAGCTTTTCAAGGAGATGTTTTTAAATGTCCTGTCATCCTGTTTCTTAAAGTAAAATATCATTTGGGATACAGATACTTATTATTTTAACTAAACTTATTTTATAAATGTACAGACACCAAAAAATGCACACACACTTCAGGAAAAGAAAAACATGTAAATATTTTAATACTAAGTTTATTGAGACATCATGAAGTTAACATAAGTTACCTTTGTCCTCTGTAATTGCAAGAGGTGCTTAAAGTGGTGACTCTTAGCTTCCCGACATTTATTAGTGTGATGAAGTGCTGCTTGGGTAATCTTGGTCATTGAGATTGCTTCATATGCAAGGGCCAGCAGTGTAGTGGGTTTTCTGCAATGTACAATATCCTCTAGGGTCCCCCATGAAAGTAACAGCATCTTTAAAAAAGAAAAAACCATACTGTTTTTCTTTTCCTGAAGTGTGTATACATTTTTTTGTGCAGACTGTATTTTCAGGTCCAGGAGACCATTACAGATCTTAAAACTGTTTTACTGATAGATACAAAGCGTATTATAACCTAATCCTTTTGAGGCATTGTAACTTATGGAAGCAGTGAAACAAAACAATGTATATTTTAAGATTATATAAGTATAAGTGAAAATTTTTCTGTTTAGTGTCAAACATATTTTTGTTTTTCTAGGAATAACAGAATCTACAATAGACAGGAAATTCTGGAGATGAGACAGTGCTACTAAGAATTCTAAAAATGCTAATAAAATACATAGTATACCCCCGGTGATGTTTTCATCTCTGGCTTCTTCATTTGTAGTGCTGTGTACGTCCTACTGTATAAGTACACCAAAGTTTAGTTAACTTATTATCACTAGATAATTTGGTTTTCTTACTGTTTTTGACTATTATACCAATCCTGCCAATAAGTATGAAGAAATTCTGCTTTATATAAGCAAGGTTTCTATAGGATATATATCTAGAAATTGATTTGCTGGATCATAGAATATGACATGTTCTGATCTTTTTCAAGTAGCATAAAATTATTTTTCCAAAATGGTTGGAACACTTTGCATTGCCAAAGAAATATAAGAGAGTCATAATTGCTCTGCATTCTCGCAGTTAAGATTGCCAGTCACTGTCCTTGCTGATTGTATGATAGCTATCTTCCCTCGTTAGTGTCAGTCAAAGTTCTTAATTAAACAGACTCTGTAGTAGATGTTGTGACAAAGTAAAGAAATTATACTTAGATGCAGACAGTGAGTTTATGCTACATCAAGTGTAAGAGTTTAGTTTCTCTAACGAAAATTTTTATGGTTTTATGTATTTTTTCTTGTTTTTCTAGAAATAGTAAGTGAAGAGGAATCTCCTTTACCGTCCTACAATCATCTGAATGATGAAAGCTCGATTCCAGAAGAATTAGGCAGCCCTGCTGGTATATATGTAACACCCGAGTCTGTAGGGCAGGAGCAGCAAGGGAGTCCAGATCATAGCATACTTACTGAAGAAATGGTTTATTCACAGGAACTAGAATCTTCCACCTCTCCTAGTAAACATGTAAGTTAATGTTTATATCTTCAAGCTTCCTTAGTAAGAGCTTGTCTGAGAGGTGTATTATTTTACTGGTTGTTTGAATGGTTATTTTATTCCCACTAGTGACAGCATTAGCTCCCCATATTTGTGAGATGCAATATCTAACATGTTGAATAGAAATAAAGTTTTTATTAGCTTATAGATTTATAAATATATGAAGTATAGTTTTAATGGCAGTTATAAAGTTATATGCTTTCAAATCTATTAATATTGACTATGTATGAACTTTTAAAGTCTTTAATAAAGATAATTGGTGGGAATAGTGTAAGTCCTTCCTGAAATCTGTGTTTTGTCCTAAAAACAGTAAGATCTTAGCCCATAGCAGAGTTCCTGTATTATAGTTTAATATAATCCAGAAATGCTTGGCCACTCATAATCAGAATGAAAATAATAATGTTATTGCCTTAAAGCAAATCTGAAGCATGTAAGTTAGAATAGTGCTCATTATTAAAGATTTTCCGTACTGGCTTTAATTCAATCTATACCATATAGATTAAAAAAAAAACTTGGGGGGCTGGGGATTTAGCTCAGCGGCATAAGCACCTGCCTTTCAAGCTGGCGATCGTGAGTTTGATCCCTGGTACCGATAAAAAGTTTAAAAAGTTTTAAAAAAATTTTAAAAAAAACAACAAAAAAAACTTGGTGATAAAACTTCACTATAGAAACTTTTTAAACTTTATTTTATAAAATATATCAAGAAATTAGCATAACATTAAAACTTAGTGAACAGTTTTTTTAAAATTGGAATATCTTTCTTAAGAATTTTCATTTTTAACATGAATATAAAGAATTAACTGCATATCTACCATTGAAAAATTAGTCAAGGGGCTGGGGATTTAGCTCAGCGGCATAAGCACCTGCCTTGCAAGCAGACGGTCATGAGTTCGATACCCGGTACCGATAAAAATGAAAAAAAAAAAGAAAAATTAGTCATATGTGTTATATGCTACCTGAAAGATTTGGAGGAAAATCATTTTTTGTTCAGTGAAGAGCTGATTCCATATATTGCTGTGTACTTATGTACATATTTGAAAAACTTTTTAGATGATAAAAGTCTTCCAATTGAGTTATTGTGTTGGTGATTTTTAAATTTATTTATTTATTTTTCTTTTGGTACCAGGGATTGAACTCACAACCTAGCACTTGTCAGGCAGGCGATCATGCTGCCAAGCTGAATCCGTAGCCCCTGATTTTTAAATTTATTATGTGGTAATAATAGGCTTATATAAATAATCTCCTATTACCACAGTTTTTACCTTCTAGGAATATGTAACCAACTGTGCATTTTATCACCATCTTATTAGTTTCTAAGTTTCTGTAAATCTGTTACATTCTACTAGCATCTTATTCATAATACCCACAAACTAAATGAATACTAAAAAATAGGGTTTTTTTTTTTTTTTTACAAGAAAATATATCAAAATCAAAATTAGTGATGTCTCTAGGGGCTGGGGATTTAGCTCAGCGGCATAAGTGCCTGCCTTGCAAGCAGGCAGTCGTGAGTTCGATCCCTGGTAACGATAAAAAGGAAAAAGACAAAAAAAAAAGAAAAATTAGTGATGTCTCAAAGTGGTTTTATAATAAAAAAGTACTTACTTATCCTATGCTCATAGTATACTAAATACTTTACATGGATTCTAATCTAATCCTCATAACTGAGTAGATTGCTATAGTTCCTGTTTTAAAGAAATTTGTTGAAAGTCACAGGGATAGAAAGTGATTATTCCAGGGAATCAACTTAGGCATTCTACCTCTTGATGTCAGGGAAGAAATTAGTTTTTCATAATAATCTTATAGACAGTCTTATTTCTGTTTACTTTCTCTTAAAAGTAATAAATACTTAATTTTTGTAAATTAAAAGGGTAAATACCACTGACACAATAACCACTTTTAAATTTATTGTATATTTTTATTTATTTATTTATCTTTTGGTCTTTATGAGACAGGGTCTCACTATGCAGTTTAGGCTGGCCTTGAGGTCACTTTGTAAACTGTGGTCTAGAACTCACAATGATCCTCTTGCCTCAGCCTCCCGAGTGCTAGGATTACTAGTGAGCGCCACCATACCCAACTATTGTATATTTTTTAAAAGTACACTTTCATAACTTCTTTTTTTGCCTTTAAGAAAAATGAAGGTCTTTATAGCATTTGTAAAACTTTTCGGTTTTTTTTCATGATTACTTAAAATACCTTGTAAATAAATTCTTTAATTGGCTAGGATCTCAGATTTTAAATAGAATTTCACAATTATATCACAGAACAATTCTCATTTTGTTTTCTGTTTAAATAGTCACCTCCCAAAAGCTGTGCATCTGTGTCAAAACAGGAGTCAAGCAAAGGAAGTCATAGGACTGGAAGACAGTGTCATCTCCCTCTGAAGTCCCGTTACCATTGTTATAGTTGGTCTGATGAGTCGTTATCTATGACACAATCAGGTAAGGCTAATAATGACTTTTTCTTAGTATAGTATTTGAGTTATTCTTTGTCTAACCATAGCTTGGTCTAACCATAAATAGAGTGTCATCCTTTCTTGCATTTCTAAATGCTTTCTTCTTGCCAAGTGTAAATCATCTATTTGTTTGTCAGTAATTATATTCCTGAATTCAGAAAACTTGATAAACTTTTATTTTCAGGTATTAGTGGACTTTTGTTGCATCGCGTTCTGTGATTTAGCATGTCATACCTTTCAGCTCAAATTATAACACTTTGCCCAGCAGGTTTCTATTACTAAACTCCTGTAGAGACGGGTCTATATGTTCTTAACAATTATAGCACCAGGACTTAGCAGGCACCTTGGATTGCACATGGTAGGTGTATTTCTTGAATGAATTAATGATAACCATGAAAGGAAATAAAAATTGGTTGTACAAGAAACAAAAGTCTAAAAGGAGAAAAAATAGAGAAGTAACAGATTACAATGGCAGTGGGGCACATCCTGTATTTTCCCACAGCCTCTTCCCTACCGTAAATCACTTTAGATTATGGAAGAATGAACAATTTCTATTCTAAAAAGGCTTTCAGGAAACTTGTTGACCTTGGGAATCTTATTTACAGAGACATTACTTGGTTTATGTAGAATTATAAAGAAGATTAATGCTACATTGAATATTGCCACATTGATTGCCATGTTGAATATTTTACCTTTTGGTTTATGTTTAGTTTTCTTTAGAGAGCAGATATTTAGTAAAGAAAAGTGAAAAGTACTAGGGTTTTTTTTTTTGGTGTGAGGTGTATGTTTTTTTGTTTTTTTTGTCTTTTTCCTTTTTATCGGTACCGGGGATCGAACTCATGACTGCCTGCTTTCAGGCAGGCGCTTATGCCGCTGAGCTAAACCCCCAGCCCCGATGTGAGGTGTTCTATGGTTTGTTTTCTATGTTTTAGATAATAGTAAGTCATAAAACTTTCTCTCACCTGATCTTTTTTGTTCTTGGAGTAATTGTGTATCTCAAAGAGTGGATATACTATAATTATTTTACCATAAATACTGTCTAGATTTTTCTCAAATTTTTCACAATTGCAAACGCTATGATGAACATATGTATATAATATTTTACAAATCATTGAATATTCAAATTCCTAAAAATAGAATTATTGGGTTAAATTAGTTGAATATTTTCTTTCATATTTATCTCTGGAAAGTTATTATAGTTTTGTATACTTGCTTTTATGTACTCTGAAAAGTTATTGCTAGTGGAGTAATATGTTGGTAGATAGAAACTTGACAGATATTTGGAAACATAGGCTATTATCTTGGGTCTGTGACTTGTGGCTTTCTTTATATTTCTTCCCCATATTGAATTATCTTTTAAAATCCAAAATAGCCCAACACTCGGGCAGATGAGGCAAGAAGCTTGCTGTGAGTTCAAGGCCAGCCTGGACTACATAGTAAGTCCAGGCCAACCTGAACTTTTTTTTTTTATTTAAAGAAAGACAAAACAAAATAGAAAACGGGCAGAAATAGTACATACTTTCAAAGACAAGAAATAAATAGTAATAAATCACAAGCTGATGTATACATATTGTCCCCCTATAAATAGGTGTTCAAGGTACACAAGTAGAACATATAAATGAGAATTCAGCCCGCAGACTGCAAACAGTTCTGTTAAACTATCCAACAAAAACTAAGTATTATGGCTATCAATCCTATACACTTAGACATGTAGGCATTTATCCATATCTTCATTTATGCTGAGACCTAACACAATTTATTAGATTAAAATCCTTCTAAACAAAGATTAATAATATTGCTGGATTTCACATCATAACACTCCGGAATCAGGATTGGGTACTGCAGTGCCACTTTCTTTCCTTGAAAGTTTTTGTTCATTTCATCGTGTGTCAACAGATCACTTCTCATAAACTGTTTTATAGGTGTTACATAAGCATGAATCTTAATATGTATTTCTCTCCTTTCTATATTAGAGGGGTAAACAAAACAAAGCAGGACAGGACTAAACTTTTTCTTATAGACATATAAAACTAAAAAGATATACAAATCTGCTGTGTAAGGAGTTCTACCATGTTTCTTATTATCATCAACAGTATTGGCTATATCATCAAATAAAGTATAATTGAACACAGTATATAATAGGATTAACAGAAATACAACTTTGTAGATAGTATAGAGCTACAAAAACAGGTAGTAATCAAATCAGAATGGATATCATAGTGAATCATTGTCATTTTCAGTATAGTTGTCTATACTCCTCAACTTGACACCATCAATCTTACAGTTTTAAATAAAATCTGTCAGTAATAATTAGCAATCAAACAAGTCAGATTTAACTAAGATCAGTCATGATACAACAGTACTATTCATACATGGATTCTGATTGAGTTAATAGGAAATTAAAGATGTCCACTGTGCTATGGACAGCTGTCTGTGCCCCTCAGATCCAGTGCTTGTATACAAACTAGGACGGAACAAGTTCCAACCAAGCAGAGTGGTGCGAGTAATAGGGGCTTTAATTCCTGATACACTATTAGCTATATCTTCTGCTGTTGTTTTTTTTTTTTTTTTTTTGAAGACTATTCCTCCCCTTTACTCTCCCAGAATGAACTGTGTATTTTTGGGTCTCCCCAACATTTATGGTTTTGTATTGAGGGGGCAACCGGCTATTTACCTAAAAACTTTCTCACTCCTGGGCTGGATTTCTAGTTATATTTCTTCATTTATTAAAGCCTGTCTGTTCAACCTATCCATAAATACTGGTCTAGTTACCCTTAATATTCTCTGGTTCCTTATCACATCAAGTTCCATTTTCTCATGTTTGATTTTGGCCCATATAACCTCCTTCAGGCTAATTATATTTCCTATAAAGAGCCCCAGTGGGCCCTATCTCTTGATCCAGTCTGCCTGAAATTCTCTCTTTTTTCCCTTAAGTTAGTGTATCTAGGCCATCTATATTAGAAACTATATCCAATCTTCTCTGCCTCATTTCTGTTGAATTCTTTTTCTGTCATTAGTTGTCAGTTTGTCTTCATTTCGCTTTCTGCTCCATTCATTGTGGCCTCTCTGCCACTGTTTCTGGAATCCTGGTACTTTTCTCTCTCTTTAGAATGTCCTGCAGTATTCTCTGTAGAGTTGGATTGGTGGTTGCAGATTCCCCCAGTTCTTCTTTATCTTGGAAGCACCTTGTTTCTCCATTAATTTCTAGGGACAGTTGTGCAGGATATATCAATCTTGGCTGGAGGTTATTGTCTTTCAAAGCCTGGATTATTTCGCCCCATGCTCTTCGTCATTTGATGGTTTCACGAAGAAGTCTGCTGTAATTCTGATGGGTGTTCCCTTGTAAGGGATCTGTTTCTTGTCTCTGACAACTTTTGATATTCTGTTCTTATATTGGATTTCTGGAATCTTGATTATTATATGCCTGGGTGTAGTTCTGTTTTGATTGTAGGTGGCTGGAGTTCTGTATGCCTCATACATCTGAGCATCTTTACCTTTTCCCATATTTGGGAAGTTCTCCTTAATTATTTCTGTGAATAGCCTTTGCAGTTCATTTGTTTGTATCCCTGCTTCTTCCTTTACATTCTTAATTCTTTTTTTTTAAATTTTATTTAAGGAGCAAAAAAGAAAAAAAAAAACAGAAAAAGGGTACAAGTTATATAGAATTTCAGAAAAAATAAAGAGTAGCAAATCACTAATAATTACATATTGTCATCTTAGAAATAGTTGTTGAAGTTACAAAATTAAAGCATATAGAAGGGACTTTCAAACAGTGAGACTGCAAACAGTTTTGTTCAATGATCCCACAAATCTCAGTAATATGGTTATCTATCTTATACACTTAAATATGTATGCAGTTATATCTTTTAGAGAACTTCCTTTTCCTTTCTTTTGTATAATGACAATTACACATTTTGGGTTTTATTACTCCCACAGTTCTTATTACTTTTTTTTTGAAGAAAGTAAAACCAAATGTGACATACCAGGACAGAGTCAGTCAAATCAAAAGGATGGACATAATACATAGTGTAAAAACAAAATACAAGGTGATCAACAATGGTTACCATAATGCCTCTTGTTATCTTAAAAGGAATTGCCTATATCATCAGTTATAATAAAATTGAATAAAACAGTAAAGAATAAGACCAATAAAACCAAAACATTGGAGACATTAGAGGACTTCAAAAGAAAATAATAGTCAACCAGAATGGGCGTCACAATGAATTTTATTTGTCTTCATAGTTGTTGCCTATACTTTCAAACTTGGTACTATCTAGCATAACAGAATAGAGGAAAATCAGTCAAAACAAGATGGTGAGAGCAATACAGAGTTTCAAATCAAGTTAATAGGAAATCAAAGTAGGTTACTATAATATATCCTGCTATTTTTTATTTATTTTTCCCTTAATTAAAAGAATAAAGATGAAAAAGTAGATACTAAAAAGGAGATTGAGATAAAAAAGAGGGCATAACAACAAAACAGTGCAGGTCAAAACATAGCCATTTAAGCAAAATAGTGTTTCATCACAGGATGATCTCGACATAATAGTAGTTACCATAGTGTCTCTTCCCTTAAAATCTTTGAGTATAACTTCGTATACTGTAGCATCAAACATATCAAGACAATGTAAAACCATTCAAGAGAATGACAATATTACAGGGCATTTAGAATCAACTAACAGAAAATGAACAATGGTTTTTGTATAATCTCCTTGTCTATAAAAGTTTTTGTTTATATTATCACATATAATAAAATCCAATAAGATACAACACATTAAAACCAATGAACAGAAGAACAAAAGCTTGATGGGACTTCAAAACAAGAAGATACTAAATCAGCACTAGCTATTATGATGTCTTGTTTTCTCCAAAATGGCTGTTCCTACCCTCCAACCTTTTCTGCCTCATTTCTGTTGAGCTCTTTTTCTGTCATTAGTTGTCAGTTTGTCCTCTTCATTTCGCGTTCTGCTGCATTCATTGCAGCCG